CCAAAAAAGCACGAGAAAAGGCACCAAAAAAGCACGAGAAAAGGCACCAAAAAAGCACAAAAAAAGCACGAGAAAAGCACGAGAAAGCGCACGAGATTTTGAAAGCGGGATTGGTGCTCCGAAGATTGTCCCCGCGGAAACGGTGGATCAGAACACCGGTGGTCCTGGGACTCCGGGGGTGGCCCTGGGGGAGGGGGTTGGGGGGTCTGAGGGGGTTGGGGGGTCTCCTGCCTGGCAGGTTCTTCGACCTTGTGCGTGGCATGGGCAAAGAATTTCCATGAGCCATGTGAGTGTCTCCTGCGAGACATGCCCATGCAGCCCATGCATATGATGCAATATAAATTAAGGATAATAGTGATATTAGTATATAATATATTCATAGCTTTTGGGTGTATTAGTCTAGTAGTATATAATAGTAGTGGTAGTAATGGTAGTAGATGTAACCCAGTGCAATGTAACTCAACATCAGGTTGGTGAAAGACTGGGAGTGAATGAGATGAGAGGGCCTTCGGGAGTGAATGAGATGAGATGAATGAAATGAGATGACAGGGTTCTAAACCTTCAAACTTCAAATCACAATTGAAGATGGTACCTTGTTGAAGTGGCCTGATTTCAGTTTGAGATTTCTGGTGCTTTTTCTCTTAGTAAGTTTAGTAGGGAAAGCATTTTGCGACTGTTACTGGGGGGGGCAGGGTCCAAGTGATAAATCTTTTGCGAAAGAGACAAGTAAATTTGCGAACCTCAAGGGTCTTTTGCACATGTTTTTTGGGACAGCATCTGAAAAGGTCATTTTGCATAAAACCCGTTGCACGCCCCTTTATATAAATAATCAACTCGATGTATACATAATGTTTTGTTCGGGGCCAAGTCAGCCATTACCAATAACCAATACCATTGTCCAACATTCAAATTAGCGAACAAGTGTGGCTGTCCTATCAGTATGTGTTGTGATATGTGGTGTCTCTTGTGAAAGCGACATCACCCTGAAGCAGTGTGGACTTGTGCTTTGACAATGAGAGATGGTATGCAAGCACCCTGTAGCACCATTTCAGCGCCCCTATTCGTGTGACCTGAGACTGGGAGACAAATGAAAAGGATTGAAAGGCAGAGGTCGGCAGCGCGAGGCGGACACAGCAGTCCAGACTGGGAGACAAATGAAAAAGATTAAGAAGCAGAGGTCGGCAGTTTGAGGCGGACGCAGCAGTCCAGACTGGGAGAAGAATTGCACCACCGTAGACCCCAAACAGGGGGGACAACAAAGAAGCATTCTCAAGCCCATTTTTTGAGACATGGGAGACAAGGAGGAAGAAGAGAGACAAGAAGGGAGACAAAAGGAAACAGAAGGGAGACAACACGCACACAACAACCAAGACACAAGGACCAACAAGAAGGGAGACAAAAGGAAACAGAAGGCAAGACGGACACAGCAACCAAGAAGAAGGAAGACAAGATCGGAGACAGAAGGGAGACAAGGCGGGCGCAGTGACCAACAGGAAGGCGGACAAGAAGGGAGACGAAGGGGGACAGAAGGGAGACCAGGCGGACACAGTGACCAACAAGAAAGGGAGACAAAGGGAGACAAGCCGGACGGAGGCGGGGGACCAAAGGAAACAGATGACCAACAAGAAGGGAGACAAGACCGGAGACAAGGCGGACACAGTGACCAACAAGAAGGGAGATAAGGTGTCCCGCAGCAAGCGGGCACTTTTAGAAAGCATTGAGAACCCTTACAGCAGTCTAGACAAGGCAAACACACTTAGATGCATTGGGGAAAACACGGGTTCGCCCCCAGTCACACAAGCCGACCAAAACCTCTGGGGCGACTGTGCGTAAAATCCGTGGGGGGGTCCTACGTTTGCTTTTCACAGTTTCGGACAGGGTCCATCGTGCTTGTTCATATGTGCCTTGTGATATCGCTCAAAGTCAGAGGCATCCGTCATAGCGGTGTCATCTGTTCCTGCTTCCCTCTCTCACTGGGCAAAGTCCTGCTACGCAGGCATCCTGCGATCTATGGAATTTTTGATCGCCGTGCTCAATTCGCATTTACTGGGCCTCAGCATGGGACCCTCAGAGGAGGACGATTCGCTAACAATCTGATCAACAACCACGGCTGAGACCTTGCTGACCAGTTCTCCCGCAGTAGACACCCCTGAGCGGAAGTAGCACCTTTAACAGGTACATGTGCACATACAGCCACGCAGCCCTATGCATATAGAAGGGTCAAACAACAATGTCCGTTGCACGGATCAAGTTGTGACCTCAGGTTGTTGATTCAGATTCACCTCAGTGGTCTTGACCCACTTCTCACCTGCAAGGCGAGGTTCGTCCCCGATGGAGCAAGGCCGTGGAGGGATGAGGGGTGAGCACAAACAATTAAATTTCAGTCAGCTCATGCTTCCCAGTTTTTCTTGTGCAAGTTCTCCTCCCAAGGAGTGGACTGATTATGGCTGCTTTAGTTTGGAGTGTCGACTTCTAGCTGCTTCCGGGCGCATGGCAGCACTGAACTTCCAACCAATTTCAGGGTTGTTTCTAAACAGCGGCATTGCGATGGCTTCCCATCAAGTGTACCGAGACGTGGGCTAGCTTCCCTTTCTGAATCTGAATCAGCACTGGGGATGGTTCAGGGATGTGTGGGGTCTCCTTCTTAGCCGCGACCCCTGCAAAGGTCAGGTCCCCCCACACCTGCTCGAGGAAACTCTCATTGCGTGTGGCACGTGGGCTAGCGTCCCATCGTCCCACACTGGGATCCTTCCAGATCTGAATGATCACCAGCCACTGACTAGACGAACGAACCCTTCAAGTGTTTTTCTGTTGCAGCCCAGGCCAAACTCCGGTCATCCCCTGCCAGGTTCAACTTAAATCTAAGGCTTACCTCGGCTTACACTCCCTTCAGAAACCCCTTACGTCCCTTCCTAACATTCCTGATAGCACAAAAGACTCATCTCCTCGCCCTCCCGTCGCCTTGAAGTGGGTCCTTCGTTCCCAGCATCTGCGCCAAGCCGGGGCACTTCCGGATCAAGGGCACTGCCAAGTCTGCGAAGAACCTGAGCTCACCGTCGCTCGCCAAGGGTCGCGGGTTGGTTTTGGAGCCACACGGAAGAGATCGAATTGAGGGTGCATAAATGGCACTTATTCCTCATGGTAGGAGAAGGATGCTCCAAATCCACCTCCAGTTTTGCTAGCTTGCTGTGTAGATGACCATGGGGTGTCATAGGGTGCTAGTCTGGGAAACATGCTGATGGATGGTGGCGTTGCTTCTTGGACGTACCAGGAGATGAGAGTCTCCTCTACCGCTTGTAGAAGGGGTGTGCACGCTGATCAATCTGGTTCTTGAAAGAAAGTGGGAAGTCAGTGGAACATGAAAGGAACTACATAGATGATTGACAGAAACGCTTCGAATAGTGGAGTGAGGCCACAATTTGAATGTGACTTCATGCCTCGAATTTGGAATTGTTGTGAGTTGTGTTACTGGACGCAATGGCATTTGCAGTACAGAAGGCCTTCCGCAGCTCCTTGTTGCTTAGACCGGCGCTTAAGCCCTTGACACTAAGGACGCACATAGCTATGGGTGCAAGGAGTTATATAAGTAAAAGTGAGTCTTGGCGCTTTGCTCCAATCTTCAGAAGTGATATTTTTACAGGCGTTTTGCCGGCTTTTCAGAGATCTCCTCTCTACAATTGCTACGGTTCGCTTGTCGTGCCGTCAAGTTCCCCTTGGCGATGCTTTCTCAGTCAGGCCCAATGTAACCACAAAAAGATTCAGGGTTCCTCCTCTGCTGAAATCTTTTTCTTGGCTGTTTCCATATTTTCCGTTTGCTCCCCTGGAGAACTGGGAACTATACCTTCGCGATGCGCCTTCTCACACTCAGATGCCAAGTTGTTGGCCAGAATTTTAGACAACGTCCTCCAGGAACTGAAGAAAAGAGGGCCTTCAACTGATCTTTGGCACAAATTACATGCAGTAGCACAAATTTTAGTTACTTGAGAGGAGGGAGACACGAAAGGTAGGACAGCGGGAAGAGAAGAGAACGCGAGAGGCAGGGACAAAAATGCAATGTTCGACATGGTGATTTATCCCCTCGGAGGCGACCTTTCGTAAATATATGTTCATATGCACTTTAAATGTTCAAACATGTGCTCTCGAAATGTTCAAAAAGATTCTTAGGAAAACAAACTTGCCCCATGGCTCAGATCATCGGTGAGCATTGAATCGGAACATCATAGGATTTGAACTATCCTGAAACCATAAGAGGCTCACGAAGACGCTCCCCAGGAGAGAATTGACGTGCTTCACAAAACGTATCCCCTCGGGGAACACCTTTCGTGATTAGAATTTCATATTCACTCTTTCTAAATGTTCAAGAGGGTTTCAACTATCCTGAAATCATGAGAGGCTCACGAAGACGTTCTCCAGGAGAGAATTGATTTTAGAGGGGGGGAGGGGGGGGGGGTCTGAATTGAGCGATCAATTATTAGACCCGGACGTCCCAACACTTGCTTCGCAAGACAAACTCAAGGTATCCCCTAAAGGGCTACCTTTCGTGATATGGTTCTTTCCTGATTCACACTTGGGTCACCGCACTTGTCCAAGCCTAGAGATCCTTGTTGCTGTCGTTTTTGCGGCCTCTGGCCTTCTGTGGCTACGCGGCCATCATTGGAAAGATCAAGCTCGGAGAGTCTTGAAGCTAATACCAGAAAATGAAAGAATGCCGCTAAAACATGGTTCGTGGCAGGACTATCAGTATGAGTCTTGCTTGGCTGCCACAGTTGATCGTCAAAGATTGTTGATTGAAGGCTTCCCGGTTTTCTACGGAATCTATCAGTGGTGGTCGGAGAGTTGGCGTTATGTGGGTGTTGGCAAGCTTCAACGTGATATGCACCCCATATAGACGTTTCCCAGAACACATGTGTGAGACACTCCGGCCTGCATACAGAGATGGACACAAACTTCGGTACAGATTGGCGCGCAGGTGTTTGCCTTGGTCTTCCTTTGTTCTGGTTTGTACCACAGGGAGTGCAGCGTGGATTCGTGCATGTGAATTTGTTGAGTGCGGTCGAAAGCGTCAGCAACACAGGCAGCGACCTCAAAAACAATACGGGAATGGCTCTGACGCTGGCCCCACTACCGTGGGGTACTGCTGTCTGCCACCTTAGATGTACACAGATGATGCCCTCCCTCTCAGTAAGGTATATTGCAGGGCTTGCCTGATACACATACTGTCGTGCATATATTCTGTTGATTTTGATGTTGATTCCTCCGACGCATGTGCGTTGACGTCAGCTCCGGGGCCATAGGACTGAATGACAAAACTTTTTGTGCCCCTCCACACTGGGGAGTGCCCCCTTAATTCCTGCGATGTGTGTTTTTAGGTAGATTTCACAGATGGAGCAAGATCAAACCTCCAGTGCCTGAATGGCAACGTGCATGTGTCCGACTTTTGTTTGACCTCCGCACTCCTGGCCTCGTTCCCGGGTGTTTGCTACATGTTTTCGATTTCGCATCTTGATTTTCTAGAATGACAATGGTTTGTAGAAATGCTTGTCGAACTGTTTGGCTGCAATAATCTCCAAGTTTAGGGTATAAGACCAGCTGCCTGCAGCCTTCTTGGTTTTCCTACAGCCAACCAGCTGTGCACTTCACGGAGTGGCCTATGATGTGCTCCGTGACCGTGCGGCTCCTCGCCTTTGTCGTTTTGTGGCCGCTTCCTGCTTTGGCAGGTTGGCGAACTGGCAAGTGAACGCTGGGACAGACAGTCCTGGCATGGCCAAGGTCATAGCAAATTCGGCTCTTCGCAGTCAGGTGGCCAGGGCTTCTCGGGGCCAACGTCGATGATATGTCATGCATTGTGGAGGCGCTTGCCCGTAACACCAGAAACCGCCGACGCCGCAGGAGCCGTTCCTCTTCGTGGGGCCGCTCTCATTCCTCCAGCCAGAGAGGGCGAAGGTCTTCTTCGTCCTCCTCTGCCCTACGTCAGGAACTCCACGAGCTTCGCAAGTTCCTTGAGGAAAGAAAGGCTTCTGCTGCTGCTGCCCGTGAAGCAGAAAAGAAAAGAGCCGAGCATGAACAAAGGGATGCAAAGCTCAAGAAACTGGAAGAGCGCATCCTCAGGACTCTCCCCACACCTGCCAAGTCGGCGCCACCACAAGTGCAAAGGGGCGCCTCACCCTTCCCCCCTGTGGCAGACAGATTCATTGAGACTTTGACTGATGGCCATGTTTCCAGTGACGAGGTGCACAGCTGGGGGGAGACCGTGGGGCAGCGCCTCACCACGCTGGATGCGCAAGTGCTCCGCCAACTTCTTCAGAACCACGGGCTGGTGATTCCAAGAAAGAAGCCTGAAAAAGTTGCCAAGCTGCTTGAGTTCTTGGTCGGGAAGTGTTCTTTGTGAAAGCCGAAGCCCTCTCCCGGCTTCTTGGTCAGGGGAAGCTGCAGCAAAGTGCAAGTGGGCAAAGTGAGCCTCTTCGACGGAGACTTCTTGACTGGATGGCTCCTCTGGCTCTTGGCTGGATGTGTAGTTTTTGGGCTTCATGGCAGGGGCGGCAGCCTGCCCTGACCCCGACTCTTTTGGTGCGTTCAGCTGGATCGTAACGTCCAGTCGGGCCGTGCGAACCATCGCCTGGGATTTTGCGACTGTTAGTAAATGTTTGCAAGGTGCTACTGGATACCAAATCTACTCAGCGCCTGCTGCCGTGACAGTTGATGCAATGACCTATGTGATGTCGGCAAGACGGTCAGCAGCCTTGACCCTTCGTACATTGCTGAATTGAGAGGAGCACCACCTTTTTCGGCTCCACAGAGCCCTATCAACCCTCATCCATCAAGCCACTTACATTGAGAGGGCCGACGCCATCTTTGCTACCGGCCTCCTACACCTCACACTCCTCTTCGCATACCCCTCTCAAACACACCGCTATTGTTCCACCCCTCGGTTCTCCTCCGCTTTGCCTTTTTTGCAGCCACAATTTGAATGTGATTTGAATGTGACTTCATGCTTCGAATTTGGAATTGTTGTGAGTTGCGTTACTGAACGCAATGGCATTTGCAGTACAGAAGGCCTTCCGCAGTTCCTTGTTGCTTAGGCCGGCGCTTAAGCCCTTGACACTAAGGGCGCACATAGCTATGGGTGCAGGGAGTTGAGTAAAAGTGAGTCTTGGCACTTGCTCCAATCTTCAGAAGTGACAGAAACGCTCAGAACTGCATTCTTCTCTATGGGAGGCAAAACGTGACAAAAGTGGAAAACCCAGGTGGGAGTGCAATGAAGAACACTTAGGTCCGGCAGGGGATTTCTTGCTCGGGCAACCCCATAAATGTCATCTTCCCAGGGTTGTCGGCCATCGACAACCAACGAATGGTGATGGAAGGCGGTCGCTTCCAGGTTTCCTCTCTGTGAAGTTGCATCTTCTTAACCCCTGTTGATTTTGTTCACTGAATATGTTTGCCACGACTGCTGAGCTGCGGCAGCATGTGCCACCCAGCATTCCAGCGATTCGGGCATTCAAAACTGCTTCGGGTTTCTCTAGACCAAGCTCATCCATATGACATAAAATGTCCGTAATAAAAATCCAGGTACGCCACTATCTCTTGACCCGTTTCACTGGATCTCTGATATCGCAAATCATGTGGATGTCATTAAAAGTCCATATTTCGACATACAACATACGTCCACATCTCCGATCTCTCATCCAAGGCTCTGCCGGTCTCTGAGGCGGGTGAATTTGAATGCGGCAGCGGCCTGGCGGTCGTCATCGTTCCAGGCCCGGGAATGGTGCACCACGGAGTTGGATCCATACTGCAAGGCTTGCGGGATCTTGCGGTGTGGGGTGGGGAGTGGGGCAGTTGGGGGGGGGTAGTGGCGTGTGGCACTCATGGGGTGAAGTTCTTGATGCTAAGCACTTGCCACAACGCATGTAAACGTGCATTGGGCCGAAAATCAAGTAGCACTAAAGGTGCATTATAAGGGTCTGAAGAAGAAGAAGACGAAGAAGAAGAAGAAGACGAAGAAAAACACAAAGGAAAGGGAAAAGACTAGAAAAGTGAGAAACAGCAGCAAGCACTACACAATACATCATGTCACTCATCATGTCCTGTTTGGGTCGGCTGGCTCGATGCAGAGACGAACAAAATCAAACAACCGTGAGTGAAGAGACATGAAGAGACCACTGACCACAGATTGGCAGGGAGTTCTGGAAGGAGCAAACCATGTTGAAACCAGAGCCACCGGCTCCGCCTAAGGTGCACCGAGCCCGTGACAGGTCACCGTGACAAGTGATCCGTCAGAATGTAGAAGGACAGGATCACGCCGATCACGCCACAGATTTTTAGGTCACGTCTGTGGGGTGCTTGGGGTATCTTGGGGTGAACAAGAATCGACCTCAAAGTGTGCAACGTGTGTCCACGTGCCATTTGCACGACCACTGAAACTGAAACGAGTGAAACTAGGAGCCTCGCGAATTGGGGAAGATGCCAAACGAACACGGGGGCCGCAAGACAAGCTCGCTTGAGCCCGGCAGGGGCACGCAAAAACGTAGCATGGGATCAATGCAAAGCGGATATGTTCTCTTCATAACATTTCATACCAATACATAACTATGGCGTTGCCGCGTTCCCTTCAGTCTGACGAAGCCTTAGAAGGATGTTTCGTGATTGAAAAAAAGGGTCTTAAAAGGCAACCTGCAAGCAAACAGGACCGGGCTGTAAGTTGATGGCCTCAGGCCAGCCTCAGGGGGTGACCCCTCTTCATTCGTCACTGCGTCGTGGCCTCGTTTACTCATGCCATCCGACCTGGTCTACAAAAAAACCCTAGAACCGCATGAACAATGCAATTACATAGCACTTGCGGGGTGGTAGCTAGAATTTTGAATGTGTGGGAGCAAATCAAAATGGTCATATGCTTTGAGACGTGTTGAGAACTTTGCGCACGGTGCATAGTTTATCTACTTCGATTTGCTCGAGAATTGTCATAGATGCAAGCAGCTCAGTGGTAAGGCCTTCTCTTCGATTCTATGTCGGGTGCTGGAGAACTTCCAGACTCGTCACAAAGTGGGCCAATGAGTCTGAGTTTCATGGTGCCAGGCACTCTGAATGCTGGTGCCACGCGTGCATATCCCTGCAGCCCAAAAATGGAAACTGCGCAAATGCTGGTTTGCTGGAACAAGTCTTTTGGGGTGCTTGAACTTACTGCGGGTTCTTCGCTTCGGAATCACCCGTCACCAGGCGAACCACCACACCACCCTGTCCCCACCCCCACTCTCGCCTGCTGTCGGCCCTGCACGGTCAACTGCTCCCAACTCCTCAGTCGCAGAGCTCGGCCGGAAGACCAACAGCCCAACCGGATGACACCAATGGAACGGGCTCAGGCACTCTGGGACTTGGGAGAGGCCAAGACTCGACCCTTTCCGAGGCGGACGTCCGTCGAAGACATGTCCCAAAACCCATCAATCAGCATGCTTCTAATTACATGCACCGGAAGTCCAGTCATCACCCTCTTAGAGTAGGAGATCAGGACCAGGTGAGGTACAATGAGACATTGGAAGTTCTGTGGCATTTTGTTAGTAATATATGTTAGTATGCTGTGAAGATCATGCCAGAATGTCCCGTAAACCTGGGTAATCCTTCCACCCCTCGCTGAGAAATGGGCGCTGGTGCTGGTCTACTAAGTCTACTACAGTATGTTCTATCCCTCAAGTTGCAGGTCGAGCCATTGACTTCGCATCCCAAACATGAAAACATGTCGTGCAGCTTGTGATGGATCTAGTCGACCGATGGCCTCAACAAGTGGCCCCTGGAAGCGCCTGGAAGATGCAACTTCTCTGGAGTTCACTGGAGGGGCCCCAAGAACCCCATCATTTCCAACGGCCAAGCGGGCCACATCAAGTGGAGCGCCTTCATAGGAAAAAAACAAAACTACAAAAGCCGTGTTATCCCCCTGACATCGCCTTTTTGCAGCCCCCAAATTCTATGCAGCGTTTGACAGAAAACCATGGGTTTTGTCTGGGTGCCATGGCTGGGTGCCATGTGGCCCTCGCGTCCCGTACCTCCTTGCCGAGCGGCTTGATCACCTCCTTGCCGACCGTACCTCGGGCGATCCACGGGGGATCCGCGTGGTGAGCACCGAGACGGCGCCGATCCAGTCGTTTCTGGCGCTTCGAAGCTGCGAGGTGATGATGGGGGGGGTGAAGGCGGTGAAGGAGGTCGAAAGACATGACGTTGATGGAACCAAGTAATTTCTGGCACGACCAAAGCAAACAACACGAACAAACGGACGTGTGTTTGTGTCGCACTCACCTGGCCATGACAACATGACTCATTGGCCCCCCAGCCATCAAACAACAATGGAGAAATCCTCGAAAAACGTGCACACGGCAGTGGGCACTTTCGATGGCCACTCATTTTCGGACAAATAATCAGACCCCAAACAAAAAGATCATATATGGAAAACCCTGATGTGTTGATGTTTATGGTGGTGTGATGGAAAAGGATCTTGCAAGGGCCAGTCTCCTCTTCCATGATTCGAGTCCGCCCCCGAATTGCACACGACCTTCACTACTATCCCTCATTACAACCCGAGTAGTGCCTCAATTACTATCTCGATCGTTAGAGCATATTAGGGCCATGTTGGAGGGTGCTGTTTTGGATAGTTTTGGAGCCTCGTGAATGGTGAATGTTTGTTGGATACTTTGACCACGGCTCCAAAGAACCTTATACATTAAAGGCTCTTAACTTAACTATATATATATGCACACATATCATCACCGCCAAAGAGGTTCTCACGCAAACCTTGGACTTGATTCGTGAACAAATCAAAGGTAGGGGCAGGATGGGCCAGGGGCCAACAATCTCAATTCTACCAACGATTGGTGGGATTGTGCCAGGCCAGGCTATAAGAACACCTCCCTCTCAAAGCATACTTCTGTCGTGTCATGAAAGACCACAGTGAATTCCGGGAACTCCACGGCAAATTCTGGGATTGGATTTGAACAAAGCACAAGGCTTTCAGAACAAAGTGGAAATCCCTTGTCGATGGCCCACCCTCTGGGAAAAAGCTGTTGGAAGATCAAAGCCACCCCAAAGATGCCCCAAGGCCTGTGGGATCATCATGGCATCTGTCAATTTCTACCAGTCCATGCCCTACAACAGCACTCCGCCAACTCCCACAGGCACCCTTAAAGACATAACTCCTCCAAGTCACTGAAGAGCCACCCTTCGGAAGGAGACTTCCCCGGCAAATTCCTCAGGGCCGAACAAAACCAGAGTCACGCTCTCCAAAGGCTCCTCCCACTTCCCTCGGTCGCACGGAGCCTTTGGTTGGTCTCCGGAGCACGGACCCATGGAGCCAATATGGCATCAAATGACCCTCACCTCACAGGTGAGAGCCTGGCCCAAAGTAGCATGCCAATAGTTTTTTGCTGAAAAAAACGTTGCGGTCGTTACTGCCCAAATCTGTGAGGCCCGCGTTACCCAAGAGATCCCAAGAGTTCTTTCAAAGGATGGTTCCGTCCGAAGAATCAACCCGTGGCCGGTACCCTTTATCCACGCCCACATTGGTCACATTCCATCCTCCAGGCTTCCTCCAGGCTCAGAGAGGTGTTGAGGGAGTGCTTTCTATCCAACTTTTTGACGGGGGACCATTCTTGATGAAAGTTCACCCTCAATGAAAAGGATGTCTGGGGGGACCCACATCAAGAATCTTTACATGCCATGTGGCGCAAGAGAGGTCAAGGCTGAAATGAGAAGCTGCGGCTTGAGTGGTCCTCACGGAGCCCGCCCCTGAACCCGAGCCGGTCGGAAGGCGGAGGACGTCCGACCGGTTTACCGAGGTCGGCAGGCGAACGGAAAGCATCCAGTGGTGAACACACCTGGGCGTGTATTTCTTTACCGTAATCGGGCCGGGAAGATTGAATAGGTGGTATGCTTCGGGGTATGACTCGAGGGTATGATTCGAGGGTATGATTCGCAGATGATTCGCAGCTTTGAAGTTGTATTGTTGGATTAGTTGGACTTCCAGCAGTGGGCCCACTCTGCGCCGAGGCAGTAGGCAAGCAGCATCTGTTGGATGCTGGGCAGACTAGGCAAATGCACTCTCCACCAAAGACTCCAGTGGCCCTCTGCAGGCCCCACCAAAACATCCAGGATGTGGGATGGGTGGGAGATGGTGGGAGACTGTGTGGAGGTGCGTGATTCGGGTATGAATCGGGCATGAGCCGGGTGTGATTCGTATGGCCATTAGATTCTGCAAAAGAAGGCGGTTCTTTGGCTCTTCTTCCCAAGGGAGAGCACACGGGAACATTATGAGTACCCCTGGGATGTGAGCCTTTGCTCTTCCCACAAGAAGACAAACAATTTTGGCCAAATTGAGTGCCCATGGATCACACAAATTGCAAACGTCATGCACCATTGGCTCCTGGACATCTACAAGGCACAAAGACCAACAAAAAACTTCACCTTAACACCTGGTGTACATCTACTTTCTTGAGGGATATGATTCAGGGGTATGACATGATTCGAGGTATTATTACTATTCGAGTGTATGAATCGCTCAAGTCGAACTTCCAACCGCTACATCAGGAAGTACACGCCAAAAAAAACAAACCCACCTCCTCAGCTAAGAACTTCCCCTTCCGACCGCTTCCTGACCAATCGCCAACTGCCGAGCAGTTCTGGATCCGGTCGACGAGGCGAACTTACACCTTTTTCAGCTGAGCCGCCACATTTTGCAACAGTCTCACGAAGAAACACCGCAAAATCATCCCAAGGGAACCCAAGGGTTGAGTAACAAAGTAAAGTAAACCTTGGGTACACCATCAATCCTCCCCATGTACCCCCTGCAAACCTTGTCAACCCTGCACCTACAGTGGCCGGTGTGCTCCAGTGTGGTGCCCCCACCGACGGCCCGGTCCTCGTACTGCGACGTGTGCTGCCAAGGTGTCCAAGAACCTCGGACGAGCGCAAAGCCACCATGTGTTTGCTTGTTGGACGTGCCGTGCCGATCCTTAAGCCCCAGTCCCATAAACCAATGGAAATTGGATGAACTTGGCATATCTATAATGCCACCATTGACCAGTTCGGTGACCGCAGTGACTGCAGGTGCTAGCCAGCCAGGTCGTCGGAAGTGGCCGGTGGCGGCAGTCCAACCCCCCTCCAAAATTTCCCACGAATGCGAGGACTGCAGGTGATTTAAACATACACGCCGCGCTCAAAAAATAGACCGTGCATGCCAAGTTTGAAAGTGGAACATCGTGGAACCCTGGAAGGGGACAAGTTGTGGTTACGAACCAAGCCCTAATTTAACGGAAAACAAACACACCGGTTATGGCCACACCTTCCAAAAGGAGCCATCCAAACCCATCCAGAATCAAGTGAGTGAACAAAGTCATCAAGATGCATCCTCATCCTGGGGTAGATCGAATTGGGAATATATATATATATATATGAACACATGCAAGACCAATAGGACACTGGGCCTGTGTTCGGATTTGTTCCTTTTCTCTCTGCTCCAGGGTGGTTCTAGAATGATTGCATGAGGCATGCCATCCTCCTTTAAATCTTGTAATTAAACCTTGGTTCATTTCAAGGTCGTGTGGCTCGCCCAGATCGGACTTCAATGAACCAACCAGCCCAAAATCTGGGCGCCAACCGCCCTGAAAAAAGACTGACAATGTGTCTGTGTGGCATTCCTCAATCCACTTGACAGGAACTGAATGAAGTGCTGCAAGTGCTTCAAATATATAAAAGACTGCAAGGTGCGGTTTGCTGGCAGATCAGTCAAAAGTAAGTGTGTGTGTGTGTGTTTGTCTCTACTCCTTAAAGTTGCAGTTCATCAGCCAAAACCATCACTAAACAATTGTTTCCGAAGTATCCAAAATTGAAGGCAACGCCCTGTGCTGTGGGACCCCACGGGCAATTCAAGTCGAAGCGGCAACTCCAAGTCACCCTCCAAGCTGGAAATGATGGGTGACTGACTCTTGTAAAGCCTAAGCTGCGCAGGGTTCGGAGACGCATGGTGTGCGAGATCATAGGGACAGTAGGATTTAGGTTGGTTTGCTCCTCTGGGTTCATTGACCCTTGGCCTAGCGAACAGTCTTAGAGTAAGCAACCTAAACGCAAAAATCATATCCCTATCTCCAGCGTGTGCAGCCAGACTTGGAGGTGTTCAGGCTGTCAAACGGTGGTCGTCTCAGTCAGTTTTGATATTTTGTCTTCAAGGACGCTGGGCAAAAGGTAGAGTCCAGTCAGGAAATGATGGCTTTATCTATACTATACATATATAGTTAGTTAGGTGACTTATGACTTATATATCTACACTTATCTATGGACCTCTGTTGGTTGATCATGTTGTGAGACAAATCAAGGGCAGTGTGGCCGAAATACGGGCAGGTGCCCCTAAGAGTTCACAGGTGAACATTGCAGCATATATAGTTCAACAACTCACAGCTCAATGTTGCAAGAATGAGGTCTCCTCAGATATAGCTTTGGCACTAGCTTTGGCATCTTTTGCCTGGAAGCTTGGCAATCAAGGTTGTTGAAGGCCCCCTGGGCATCTTCATCCTTTCCGATGAAGCCCGGTTTGTTCAAGAAAGCTCCCCATCGCAACAAAGGCACTGCGACCATGCCCAAAGCAAGTTCGTGACCTCATAGTCCTGCTGCTCGGTGCTTTTTTCGGGGACACGGAAGGTGCTTCGCTCGGGCTCGGGCTCGGCATGGCAGGAATTCTCATATAAATGCAGGATCCGAGACTCACATGGAACCTATAAATGAACCTTCGGGAGACGATGTTCCTTTACAACCCACTAGTTTTCAGGTTCCATGTTAATCCGACTCAGGAAGGTGATGATTCCGACTCGTCAACATCTTCATTTCAGCCATTCACCTGAATCTGTGCACAGAGAAGAGCACGGAAGAAGAAAGCTGCCCCAAGGACAAGCCGTGAGTTGGTACGTCTTGGTTGCCCAAGAATGGAGTTGTCTCGGCCTGTGCACAATGCATCTTTTGGAGAGGGTATATACATCCACTTCAAGTTGGAACAATCCCTCGGAAGATGTGCGCACCTCCCCCAGAAGTAGCGAAACCTGTACGTTCAAAAACTGTTGGTTGAAAATCTACCTTGATCCTTGGTAAAAATATCCCCCTTGGTTGTTTCGGGGACCCGCATCCCCTAGATTTTGTAAAAATCCCTGGGGGAATGCAACTTCCAAATGTTTATGAAATCCTGTAGCGAGAGTCTCCGTCATGAAACGCAAATTTTTTATTTTCCTAGTGGCTTAGGTTCATCACGTATGGGTACCTGACAACAAATTCCCTAGGAATGCCAACCAGGAGTCCTTATATTTTCCTGAGCTTAAGGATAGTCAAAGGTGTTCTTTTCTCGCGGACACTGAAGCTCTTGTGTTATGATGTACCTTGCAGCCTAACTCTGAAATCTCAAGGACTCATTTAAAAAAACACAAAAACTATGCAAAACCACACTCACATATGATGACCAGGAAATGCAAAAGCGATGCACTAAAAAAACATACAACCAATGCAGCTGGTCAAAAAGAGTGCATATCAAAAAGCAAAAAATGCAAAAGGAAGCAACAAAAAACAAACAAAACACAAAACAACAGTTAAAAAACGCAAAGCAAAAGCGAACAAAACGCACAAAAAATGCACATGCACAACCAAATTTCACACACCAGCTTTTTTGTGCGATGTTTTTCGATGTTTGTGCGTCTTATGTGCGGTTTTTTTGGCATGTTTTTTTGCATTTTTTGCATTTTTTTTGCGTTTTTTCTGTCTTCTCAAGGAAACGCACAAAAAATGCAAAAAAGATCGCAAACAAACGCAAATAAAAAACAAAACAAATGCAAAGGCAAAGACCAGAACGTTTTTGATCGCATTTGTTTTGTTTTTTGATAGCATTTGTTTTGCATTTTTGCGTATTTTTGTTGCATTTGTTGTGCCTTTTTGGTGCATTTGTTGTTGCATTGTTTGTGCCGTTTTTGCATTTGTTTAGTGGACAAATGCGTGTTTTTTTTTCGCATTTTGTTTGTTTTTTTGCATTCCAAGGCATCCTTTGGTGACTTGTTTTTGCGTTTTCTGTGCATGTTTTTCGGGATTGGTTTTGCATGTTTTTTTGCATTGTCTATGCATTGTTTATGTTTTGCTGTGTCATCAGAACTAGCTTTAGCGTACATCATAACTCTTGTGACCACTGAAGCATCGTGTTTGAGCCCACACTCTGGAATGGAAGGCTCCAGGAACTGCTTTGTCCAGGCATACATTCTAAAATCCTGTAACCAAGACACAATTAATTAGTTATAGAATCCTGTGTCTATTCAGCTTATGAAATCCTGTGCGAAGCCTATGTTTCCAGGCTGATCCGTTTATATTTTCCTGCCATGGACGTTCGGCCTTGCAACACAATCAGCCGAAAAAGTTATATAAAAATGGGGTTGACCAACAGGAAAACATATAGCGATAACAAACGGGGATTAAGAATAAGGAATATTCAGAGCGGCCTTTCCAAGTCCATTTTGAGGGTGGCGACGGCAGCAAGCAACTAAGTAGTTGGCTCCATGTCAAAAATTCAGGATGCAAAAAGCATCACCATAATTTCAACAGCAGTCCAGTCTAGTCTATATATAGTCATGTTCAATATCTTAATCCATCCATCTTCAGATCCCAAGACCGATCGTCGTCCTGGCATGCTGACAGGTCCCTGGCCGCAAGGCGCGATAGCAGCACGAAGCTCTCACGGTCAAACCTGGCACTGTGTTTACAACACTGCTGAGGTTAGGAACCAAAGGGAGAACTCGTCAACCTGCAGGTCGGAGGTTCATACAAAAGACATCCAAAAAACGAAGGACCAAAAGTTGCATCCCTTCCTTAAGAACTATACTTGAGCGGGGAAACACGAAAGGTAGAGACGGACCGGGTAGCTGTCGGGACCTTTTCTGGTGAGGGACTGTCTCCCGTGTTTCAGGAACGTTCCCCTTGGTCAGTCATGGATGAAACCAACAAAGCCAAAGAGCACAAGAAGGCTTAAGAGGAACACCGTTGCGATCAGATTGCGCCACCCGGCTCTGCAGAGAGGCTGCGTTGCGTCGACGCTCGTTTGTGTAAAGGTGTGTGAAAACAGGCGCGCGTAAAAGTCGCAATGCGTAAACGCTCGCATGTGTACCAGCTATGGTCCCACAGCTACACGCACTGTGTCAGGATTACAGGCCTGCACGCGTTGCGTCGAAGCCGCCGGTACTGCCAGGGATGGACGTCACGCTATGGTGGGTGGCTGATGGGAAGGGTGCGTAAATAGCTGTGTAGTGGTGCTCCACGATGCGGTAAGATGTGGCCACGCGAGGCTCCGCGAAGCGAGAGGTTTCTCCACAGGGCCTTGCAGAGAGGCTGTGTTGCATCGATGCTCGTTGGTGTCGAGCAATATGGTCTGTGAACGCAGTATGCGCTATGTCAGGCTGCCGGGGTTTCGTGCTGTATTGCGCAACCTCATGGCCAGCGTCGTACTGCTGTGACTGCTAAGCGCATGACTTCACCTTATGGTGTGATGGTGTGTCCAGAATGCTAGTAGTGCTGGCGAGGGGAGGGGGGGGTGCAAAACAATTGATTTATCAATGAATCATCACGTGGGAGGGGGGGGGTTAGACATTGATCTACCAATCTTTAGTCCTGAGCAGGCTCTCAAGCCAGTCACTTTGCTTCGCAAAGCAAACTCAAGGTAGTCCTTACCAGGCTACCTTTCGTGATATGTGTTGGTAGCGGCGGTATCTTGGATGGATAAAGCATTGATCAATCAAGAACGGTGTTCTCTGAAGGGTGTGAAAAAAGTAGCATTTCTTGGCCCTATAAAGACTCCATCGCATATGCTGGCTGCATATGAACCGAAACGAAAGGAACAGAAGGATACAAAAAGGATCAAAAAGGCAAAGTGATGGGAAAACTGAGGCCAAGAGATGTGCTTGCTATGGCTTGCTCGGCGACTTGGTGCTTGCTCGGCGGGGTAGGGAATCGTAGGGAACGAGGTCCTAGAAGATCCCCAGAAGATGTGGTCAGCAAGGGCGGTGGGCGAAGTCCAAACATGCCGGGCTTGCTGGCCGTAGCATGCACAAGACCAGGCGATGAGGGTACAGCAATTCGAGGGCATGCGCCCATCGCCAAGTTGGAATTCCATCTCAGCTTGCCTCGGAGGTAGTGCACTTTCATGCGACCAGTGACCAGGGCATGGAAGAAACAACACCACATGCTGGATCCTCCCAACCAGCCGCTGCTTTTGCTGGATCCTCCCAACCAGCCGCTGCTTTAGAAAAGCCCTCAACGAGGTGGCGGAACGGGTGCAATGTGTGACACATCATGCGAAGTAGCTTAAGGGGGGAAGAACGAACATCCTCCGAAACGAAAAAGGACGACCTCACCGAGATGAAAAGACCGAAGGCTACCGAATAGATTAGATGCATTGAATGGATGTGACTTTGAACTACTTGGGTGCGCATTTCCTGCGCATAGCGCACCAAAGCGACTCTCTGTCCACCTCATATATATATATATATGTATATGTACGGATTATTTTGCTCATGAGTCGCATCTGATGCTCCCAGAAATTCCGGAACATGCCGAGGTGCTCCTGAACGTGCTGCAGCATGGTAGTGAAGATCCCACTGTCGCCATGCCCTGCCCAGCTCGCTGCCAATCAGCTGATGGTTTTGGGCCGGGACCCAAACTGACCGGACAAGAGCTTGTATTTACTGCCCGGAACACCCAAACAACCCTAAAGCCCCGGGGGGGGGCCTTGCTGCTGGCGTTTTACACAGCAGCCCGAACATCGTCGTCCACCTCGTGCGGTCGGGGTGCTTCAAGGGAATTTTCGAGGGGTATGAGGAAATCATGGAGCAGCTGATCACATCAGAAATGCCGGGCCCATCGCAGTCATCAATCCCCACCCCTTCATCCCATGCCAAAACCACTCTCTGGCGCACCATGGGAGCGGTCACCACTCCGCACAAAGCGGTGAAAGGCTGTGGCCAAGTTCACGCCGTTCATGCGTGGTAACTGCCGCTCAATCACACCTGGCTGCGGCGCTGGGCGGCTTCCGCCCCAAGACGTGCCACGCGGATCGAACGTCGAAAGGTTGGAGGTTGGAAGAAGCGGATGGTAGGGCACACCCAGTGGAGGATGAAGGTTTTTTCAGATATGCCCAACCGTGGAGGTGGGGGGAGTTATCCGAAGATTGCGATTAGTTCCGCCAGATTTGCCTGGTTCAGCTGATGGCCACAGTGGTGTAAAGAATTCCAAATCCATTGGACACCACAGAGTGTCTGTGGTGGTGCTGAACCTTCGTCAAATGAAAACAAATCTCAAATCAACCTTAGGAACTTTTGCACCATCCTTTTGAAGGTTCCTCTGCCTGGCTTTGCCAACATCCCGCCCGATCAGCTCTACTTGAAGGATTGAAACCAATTTCTGCCGAACTGCATGCAAAGAAAAATGTGTATGCAATATCCAACTTTCATAAGCAATGAAAGTACCATAATCAGTATCTAGCAGCACACTCATAAGTTCAATGCATACTGCTGTGAACCTTTTTTGCCCAAAGCAACTTCACAAAATTTTAGTCAGCCAATCAGACGACATTGTCCAGGCTTCCTCGAGACGTCTCAAGGTCGCACTCGCCAAGCCAATATGTGGGTCCACCCAACAGATCAGGCACCAGACGCCCCTCAGAACGAAAAAGCGCGAAAAGTGCCGCGCAACGCGCCTTCCAGCGCTGCTCGGCTCTGCTGGCTCCCTGCAATGAGCTCTTCGTTGATCTTCCTTGGGGCCGGTCTCAAGCGCGAAACCAGGACTTGTGGCGTTGGTTTCATCAAAGACCGTGACACTCCCCAAAAACCATGAAGACCCCTTGTGTCTCTGACCGCCCACCACAAGAAGTATTGAGTAAACTAGAAGCCCTGGTCACGGTTTACTGGCTGAAGTATCGGTGCCCCGGTCGCTGCTTCTGGTTGACTTTGGAGATGTCCCTCATGAATCCTCATGACCTATGTCCTTTCTTATGTAACCTGTCGCGCATGAAAATTATTTGTGGCTGGACAAATGGGTGGGTCTTAATCCAGGGTGCGAAGTAACCAGACAAAAGCCCGGATTCGTCGCTGCAGAGGTTTGCTCATTGCCGTAAGGTCACATGAACATAGCTTTCAGAAATCCTCATATGACTAATATGGTTTGTTGCTCCATGGGGTACCTCCATGGTGTAAAGGTTGAATCATAAGGGGTGCAAAGACTCTCCTAAAACTGGATTTTCTATCTCATCCAAGAGGAGCGGGACCTCGAGGACACAAACCGCGGAGCGTGAGACCCGTTGGGTCGACCAGACTTGTTGGGTCGACACGCTCTGCTTCTAAAGTCGAAAGAGGCCTGATTGAATGAGCCCTGGAGGCTGCGATTTTCTCATCGAAAATGGAGGCCTGGAGCGCTTATTGAACGAAAAGAGGATCATGCTGATGATTAGTTGATTGCATTCAGTCTCATGCCCCGTCTTTTGATACCAGGTAGTGCTCTAGGCCCCCCTCAATTATGCAAATTGGTCAATACTTATTAAAAGGATTTAAAAGGTCCTCATGTTGCTGCTGTTGGGGGCGAAGCGTAGTTTGAGAATTTTAGCCCATGACTTTTCCCCAGTGACCCAGTGTCGCGCGGTGTGATAACCATTCCAGCACGCCAGCAATAGAATGGACACACTGGGGATTGAGCCCAGTATGTATATATATACCGTATATATAATAGAATGAACTCCAGTTTCCTTTGAACCATTCTCCTCGTTCCCCAGCAGGTAAAGGTTCACAGCCACGTAAACACCACCCGCTCGACAAACAGCTGCTTCTGAACTCAGTAGCTGCTAGGCTACTGCCTTGTAGCTTCTTAGGCTTGGACGCAAGGGGCCTCAGGCCCAGGCCTTAATGATTTGGTCCTAAGATTTTTGGGGAAACTTGACATGGTTTTATGGTTTCTGGATTTTCCAGCCGAGCAGCTTCTGGCAAAGCCAGCACTGTGTGGTCGTGTCAACGCATTGCCTCAGTTGAAGTGGATAGAACTGCTGGACATGCTGGATGGGTTCAAGCTGGCATCAGGGACCCCACAGAACCAGACCGGCGACCGGTTGAAGCGTCATCAAAAACGCTTGGATGCAACAATCCCCACTGAACCGATTCAATACTAGTGCTGCACAAAGCATGGGGATCGCACATGGGAGTGTTCCGCAGCCAGTTAGAAAGGAAAAAACACCCAAAACCTGGTACCTTCTATCTGGGTATATACACTTCAAGCCGCTGGGTCAAGCTGCACATGCTATGGAAGACCTGGCCAAAAGTAGCTTTGGAAGATCCAGGAAGATCCTGACCATCCCGGGACACATCGTTCAACGTCTAACAGGCGGCACACTGAAGAACTTTCACTAATGAGTATTGCATTTGAGACCGGAGCGACTCGTGAAAGGGATATCCGTGCGCCAGGTATGAGCCTGTGGGTCATCCTAGAAAAAACCGGTTGACCCCTCTATGAGAAAGGAAAAGGCCACATCAAGATTGCAAAGAGAGGAAGGCAAAAGAAGGCAACGGAACAGGAAAAGCAAAGGCAAAGGAAAGGGAAAAGGAACTAAAGGACGAATGCAAAAGAAACAGAAAAGAAACAGCAATTACAGCAATTATTACAGTTTTGCTTGTTTCTTGTCTAATTTGCTTGTGCAATATCTATACAAGATTGCATTTATGATCGTTTATATATTTTTAGTTAGCACATAGAACATGACAAAACACTTGCGCTCGCCTGAGAGCGCCTTCTTGCACTGAAAAGGGCCCTTGACCTATCATTGCATGTCTTCTTCCAAGGCTGGGGCCTTAGCCTTATGCAAAAGGTTTAGAACATAGCCGATCCCTGAAAGAGCTGAAGGACATGGGTCAAGCGGTCAAGCGACTTGAGGACAGCTCATCCTTCAGCTACACTCCCTCGAATCATCAGGGTTTTGTGGAGTTCGCCACCTGTTTGTAGAGGAAGATGGTCATCCAAGTGGCCATGCCATCCACTTCCATGGTGATTCCAAGGTGAGTGCAAATCCAGTTTGAGTGAATGAGTGAATCTGGCAAGCTCCAAGCCAAGCTTGTGGTCACCACATTTCGAGTACCGGTATCGACTCGTAGTATCGACTCCAGTCTGCCCCACGATTCTCCATTCCAACCACTCTTGCCTTAATGGAATGGAGAATCGTGAAGCAGAATGGAGTCGATTATCGAGTCGATAATTTTCCAACGTCCATTCGTCTCACCATGTCTCACCGACATTCGTCTTGAAACCAACGATTTGGTTTCACTCCGGGAAGAGTTGCTCCCACCGCAGGAAAACGATTTTTTTGTGTCAATGCCAGGCCACCCCTTGCAGCTCTTCTTCTTATCCTTCTTCTTACGCCGTGCAAGCTTCGCCCGGGCCCGCTCCATCTTTCCCTTGCCTCGTGAGCAGGCGGTCGTCGAGATCAGCCGTTGATTGATTGCTATTTGAAAGTGGATCGCTCCGTTTTTGGTCAAACAAATGTTTCTGCACGAGAGATGTGCAAAACAGCAACCATGTAGGAAAAACACGCCGCACTTATATAATATGGTTGATCTATGATTAATAAAGGGGCCCGAAATAAAGTTAGCAAAGTTCCGCACTCAGTTCCTTCTTTATTAATTCCTCTTCATCTCACAACTTTTGATAATCAAACCACAAAACCTTCTGACAACAATTCTTTATAAATCCTTGATTCAATAACCATTGAAAACTGATCAAAACTACTCTGGAAAAGGTTCTCCCCATGAAGCCACCAAACCCTAAATAAAGTGTACCCTAAATGAAGCCAAGCAGTCCAAACAATTTGTCTCACTGAAAAAACTTGTTGAGTTAGCATTTAGTTCCTTTCGTTGTTTTGTCAACAGGTTGCTTCTTTGGATTCCTTCTTTATTAATTTATCTTCGTCAATTCAATTCTATTCCAATTCAATTCTAATTCCGTGTAATTCTAATTCAATTCCAATTCAATTCTAATTAAGTTAAATTCCATTCTAATTCAATTCCAATTCAATTCTAATTCAATTCTAATTAAACTAAATTCTATTCTAATTCAATTCCAATTCAATTCTAATTCAATTCCAATTCAATTGAATTTATATAGCTTAACATTTAGTCCAAATTCAATTCAAATTCAATTCTTAAAATATTCATTTTAATAAGGGGTCATTTCATTTCCAAGTTAAATCTTATTCTCCCTTTCATTTTAATATGCGTTTTAGTAAGGGATCATTTCATTTCAAATTTAAATTCGTTCTTGGAACCTGGGATGAACTTTATTTAAGGTACAAAAAAAATGCCACCCAATCAGAAGTCAACATTACATTTCATGGAGCACGATGGATTCTTTCCCGGATGCGTAATTGGCACGAGAATTGAGCTTTATTTTGGTTGCTTCCTTCACGTCCTTCTCCGATCTCGAGGCCGTTGAGTTCGCAGGAAAGAATGCCGGTTGGCGCATCATGGTGAGAAGATGGAGCGCTGTGCGGACCCTGCAAAAGCAAAAACCACACAAACATGCCCGAGCATGTGATTGTGCATGTGCAAACACAAAACAAATCAAAACACATTGAAATGTGTCTATCATCCACCAAGGGTGTGGATGTGAAACAACCAGTGTGTCATAACTTGCCCACGAACAGGATCAAACACATGAGTCACATGAGTTTCTGTGTGTACAACCATCATGGTAAGAACAAAGAACTCCCCTTCGGAAGATTCCTTTGGCTCAATTCCCAAATTGGTGATTCAGACAAAGGCTATGGCAAGCATGGCCGGCATTTGAACCAGTTCTGGTGGAGCTGGATGCATGTGGCATCCAACTCCAATGGACCCAACCTTTCAACCCTTGAAAGCGGAGGTCTGAGCATCAGTCAAAACAATTACTCGTGCTTAGTAAGGAATGACGGCATAGATCCTAAAGCGTCCCTATTCATTACTACTGAGTACCAGCCAAACAAACTCGACTCCAGCGCCCTACATGTTCCTGCTCATATCATCTAATATCCTTCCATCTACCCTCCCTGCGGGCGCGAGGGCCCCCGCCATATTTGAGCGACACCCCGTGAGCAGTGAAACAAGAAGTGCTCGTTTCTCGCATCTCAAAGTCTACCCTCCGGCCTGTGGGCATGGTACTGGTCGGAGCCTGGGCATGCCCACCGTGTTGGATATCGCGTTTTGGGGTCAAGTAGCAGTGAAGCCTGAGGGGCAACTGGGCCGTTCAGCATTGGTGTACAACCTGGGTTTGTCTTTAGATGTTTATGGTTGCCTATGCGTGTCTCAGAAAGTCTCAAAATTGATAGAGCACGCTGATGGGGGAACATCATCTTCCAACCATCCTGCCAGGAGTTTCCATGTGCCCTTACACAACAGCATAACTTGAGCGGGGAAACACGAAAGGTAGAGACGGACCGGGTAGCTGTCGGGACCTTTTCTGGTGAGGGACTGTCTCCGGTGTTTCAGGAACGTTCCCCTTGGTCAATCATGGATGATGATGAAACCAACAAAACAAGAGAGCACAAGAAGGCTCAAGAGGAACACCGTTGCGGTCAGATTGCGCCACACGGCTCTGCAACTGGCTCTGCAGAGAGGCTGCGTTGCGTCGACGATCGTTTGTGTAAAGGTGTGTGAAAACAGGCGCGCGTAAAAGTCGCAATGCGTAAACGCTCGCATGTGTACCAGCTATGGTCACACAGCTGCACGCACTGTGTCAGGATTACAGGCCTGCACGCGTTGCATCGAAGCCGCAGTGACCAACCCCCTTGTAAGGATAGTGCTGGAGGGGTGCGGCCGGTACTGCCAGGGATGGACGTCACGCTATGGTGGGGTGGCTGATGGGAAGGGTGCGTAAATAGCTGTGTAGTGGTGCTCCACGATGCGGTAAGATGTCGCCACGTTAGGGTATAAGGCTGAGTCGAATGGTGCTCCGCGAAGCGAGAGGTTTCTCCACAGGGCTTTGCAGAGAGGCTGTGTTGCATCGATGCTCGTTGGTGTCGGGCAATATGGTCTGTGAACGCAGTACTCGCTGTGTCAGGCTGCCTGGCGCGCACGCACGGCATCGAAGCCGCATTGCGCAACCTCATTGTGCAGGGTTCGTGCTGTACTGCGCAACCTCATAGCCAGCGTCGTACTGCTGTGACTGCTAAGCGCATGACTTCACCTTATGGTGTGATGGTGTGTCCAGAATGCTAGTAGTGCTGGCGAGGGGAGGGGACGGGAAAGGGAGTGGAGGGGAGTGGAGGGGGGTGCAAAACAATTGATTTATCAATGAACCAGACATTGATCTACCAATCTTTAGTCCCGAGCAGCCTCTCAAGCCAGCCCCTTTGCTTCGCAAAGCGAACTCACGGTAGTCCTGACCAGGTTACCTTTTGTGATTTCTCAAGGTTTTGTCGACCCTTCGCTTTTTAGCTTGCAATCAAAATATAAACGGAATTTATATAAGTAGTTGCCGTAGTATACAAATGAGTGGCTAGAGACATCAGTCAGTGGCAATGAGAGATTGATGATGATAGAAGAATAATTTCAGGACGCGTGGGAATGGTAATCCTATTAACAAAACCTAGATGTGTAGTGCTGTGGACAACAAACACATAGATGTGTAGCTGTTGGTGAGAGGCAGGTAGATGCACTTCAAGAAGCTAGACCAAAACCTCGACGGCCGCCCACTAAAGAAGTATTCGGTCTTGTGCGCCATCCCTTTATCACACGTGTGGATCACTTGCACTCGTGAAATATTTCCCCACCTGTCAGGTGAGGGTTGCTAGAATGTATGTCAGCTGCCTTCTTCCTCCTTCTCCTCCTCCGTGTCCGCCTCCGCCTTTGCGTCCTCCTCCTCCGCCCCGTCCTCAACCGCCAGCTCCGATGGCAGTGTTCCCTGCCGGACCTCAACCGCAAGTGCAGGACGGCTCCGGATGGCAGTGGTCCCCGCCGGACCTCAAACGCCAGCTCTGCGTAGATTAATCCCGAGTACCTATTTAAAAAAGGACCCCTATTTAAAAAAAGTCATGTCGGAACCCCCTAAATGCTGTTTATATTCGTTGTTAAGTTACCGCCTTTTCAAGCCGCTACTGAACTACCAACATGGCCGACTTTGGAGGAGTTTTTTTAAAATTAGGTTCCAAAAACAACCGTAACTGCCCACCTCTGCCCACCCTGTCTATCCACCATGACACGCCGTGTTTACACCAGCAGGCTTTCCTTCCCCCAATGGCACGGACTCACGCAAACGCACTTTCCACCGAGGTCACGCAAAACCGCATGGCACAGCGACATCACCTTTCGAAAGCTTTAGTTGTTAGTCTAATGAAGAATCACTATTCTAATAAAGGTTTTTGTAGGGGGAAAAGGAAGACCCTTCGATCTGGATTTCTGAATTTTTGATATAAGTTTAATAGAGGATTTTATATAAAATTTTCCTGCGGGTGACTTTTTGGTTTTGAAGCCCTTCCCAGGTGACCCTATTTTGGACCACCCCGATTTCCGGGACCCCCTATTAACAAAAATGCGACCGAGGTTTCCTTATTGGGGGGGGGAAGGCGTGTTTTTAAATGGGGGGACAGGATTACTATGTATTCTCTGTGACTGTCTTGTTGGGGTGAATGTTAGTCACATCTGGCAGTTGTGATCCTTGCAAAACAAGTGCGAGCGGCCTGATTATGTGCATTATGTTCATGTTATGGTGGATTGAAACGTCATGCTGGGGATCTCTCGAAGTGAAGTAATTGTTGTCAAGTTGTTTTTTGGCGCTTGAGTGCAAGCCTGAGCAAAAATTGCAAAGCTAAGTTGTGCAACAAGTGTTGTTGCCACATTGCCAAGTCTACCCCAATTTACCCATGTCACGTGAAATCAGAGGAGTCCTCTACCGCGGACGGCCAGTCTCGCAGTCCAAATGACTGAGCCTCCCAACGACCGAGACAGAGCCACTCGTGTCGCTTGCGGTGTGGCAACTGCCGTGGTCACTGGAGATCGCCTCACCTGGTGGCACACGTCGCACCGTTCGGCGGTCACAGCAGAAGCGACACGTCTGCAGCGCAACCAGGGATGGCTTCGTGGCGAATTCCACGGTGCCAATTGCCAATAGCTCACCAATTGACAAGTCACAACACAACATCAAAATCAAATTGTCCGTGCCCATTGCCAAGCGCGGCTCATGACGGATTAAATTCAATGACAGTATATACTGTAGCAGGCGTCAATAGTCTCCCGTCATACATTCTGAAGATACGTGAAAGGATAAGTGAATGAGAAACTAGGAGCCAAAAACTGCAAAAAACACTCTAGCGTTTAATTTAGCCGCGAGTGCAAAACCATTGCGGAAGTTTTGCATTCAGGATGGCAACATATTCAAAGTGCTTGGGCCTTGGGCTTTTTAAGCCAATGTGGGACATGGAAGCGGAACATCACACAGGATCACACTGGATCAGTGTGGGCAAAGAAGGGACCAATCTCCTAAAACTTCAACTTATTCCGACTTGCCCCAACGTCCAGATAGCCTATCTTCACATATCTTCACAAGACATGCCCACCTTTGCAGGTCGCCTCAGGACATACCACCCGTAAGACATCAAACCACACGTCCCCACGCCGTGGCCACGACACCGGTGCCTTTCACCTCCTCGGACGACACCGTGGACTCCGTGGTCGATTCCCCAGTGCCGAAATCAATCCTCGGCCATGGCCGGCACGGTGCCAGTTTTGGGAAGTCCCATGTGGCATCCAAGGGCTGGGTTGGACAGAGCCAAAGACAAATATTGCCAGTGAACATTTTAGAGGACAAGGGTGTGTCGATCTTGCGAATGGAACGGCTGGGTGCGATCCCACCAGCGATCGGATTGAGTCTGCCTTAACGTGGTGGGTAGCTCAATCATGCTCAATCTGTGAATTCCGTTGAAGGAGGACATGATCGACTCAAGGATTCACACGCATTTGCAGGAAGGCACCAAATCCAAAGAAAGCAATGCACACCGAAAGAAAGGCCCCTCTTTGTCCTAGAATTGCTGGATTCGGGGGTTGAATGGGTACACTTGGGTGGTGCAAGCTACATTGTCCTGAAATGATTCTAAAAAACGAAAGTTGCTAGCACATCCAGAAAAGGTAAGTGAAAATGCAATTTATCGGCAGTTTTGCCGTTGCCCCCACATTCGGTCAATTGCGATGACTGCGGGACCGCATACCCTTCTTCGCTACTGGACTGTTGTTTTAGGGGCTGCTATTAGTAGTTTTCTCATCCAATGCATGCACGCGTAAAATCTGTATAAGTGTATACTGAAAATGCACACGCACTATGTATAGAGAAAACGAGAGCTGCATGCCGGCTGCATGGAATATTCTAACCCCAAACATACGAAGAAACCCATCGCAAAATTCGATCGTGCAACGCACCTTCCGAATTGTTGCACGCACATATATATATATATATATCAAGGATGGCTGAACTGCACTCCACAAACCGGATATGGCCTCATCTGTGGATGGTTAATCTTTTGGTGGCAAAGCTCCCGAGCTCCCAAGGTGTGGGTGCCCCTCTCTCTCTCTCTGACAGGGTGCTGCTGTTGTTGGGTCAGTCCCACGATCTCGACACGCGCGCGCCACGCGACTCTCTCCGGTGGCTGGGGGAAGGAACCCAAAAAGTCATCGGTGGAGCCGAAAACAGGGGATGCAGTGATGCAGCTGTCGTCAAAGAGAAGCACAAATCCAAGAAAAAGCCTCTTGCACGTGTGATGCTCAAGAATCCAAAAACTACTGTGCCCTTTGTGGCCTTTGTGCCACGTGCTCAGGAGCTAAGCATGGATGTCATGTAACTTGAACATCAACCATTTTAAAAAAAATCTTTAAAGGGTCTTTGGCTCTGAAGATCTTCTACCATTGTCCTCTAGACCTGAGTGACTCTTGGGATCCTGACATCTGAATGTTAGAGGAGCGAACCACTATGAAGGAGCCTCATCAAGTCATCCCTGCGGTCTGAGATTGGCCCACACAAAGCATCGCTTCGGAAAGCACCGCACGATCATCCGAGTCCACCACGAGAGATGAGCTCGCCAAGGCTCTGTGGGCATGAGCTTGAACGCTGAAGTGGGCCGCAAGGCGAATCATCCTCACTGTTCCTTGCAGTGGAAGGAAAGCCACCGCCCAGTCCGTTCGCCCACTTGCTGGCTCGGAAGTTGTTGTTGTTGTTGTCGTTTTTTCCCCTGGTGAGGAATAGGAAGGGAAGGAATAGAATCGGAATGGAAGGAAAAATGAAAGGAAAGGAAATCACCGGCCCGCAGAAGCACGTAGCAAGTCATCTGCGTGGATTTGTTGCAAAGAAACTGATGGCTACATTGTTTGTTGCCTTGGTTGGCATTTTGAAAGGATGGCGCGGGTTGGGGAAAGGGCGCGACGTCTCCCCACAGAAGCACGCAAGGTTTTCATACACATGGATGTTGCAAAGAAACTGATGGTTGCATGGTTGGCTGGCCTGCCTTGAAAAAAACGTCTTCGCAACAACCGCAATCCAGCCTCATGTTGGATGCCTTTGTTTGTGGGTTCCTTCCTTCCTTCCTCCCTTCCTTCCAGAAAAACACCAGGAACACAAAAAAGCTACCATCAGAACTGGAAAACATAATTCCCTAACGAAAAGCCAGCCGTCAACTGGAAAAAAGCACAGTCCGGACGTATTCTCCTATGATATATACCCTTCGATTTTTCGTGCCTGCACATGGGGTCGCAATACTGCCGTATTGCTCGCCAGCCTACGCCTGATGGCCCGGATAGCAAATTCCAGCTCATCCGACGTTGGTATCATCCAGTTCATCGAGTTGGCCATTGCATTTGTAGTATTCTCAGGAACTTTCCTGCCCGAAGTTTAATCAATTATGCAAACTTGCGAACGCAAGTCTGATCATGTGTGTGTTCTTTTCAGACTTGCCAAATGATCTAACCTACATAGTTACAACACAAAAATGACAATTCAGAGGCCGCCTCCTCGATGCATACAATGCTGCCCAAACACTTAATGAAGATACATGAAGTTCAAATTCCCCAGTAAATTACTCTAGGTGAATTATAACCACATCGCTGCTTTTAAATGCTTCTAATTACTTCTGCAATCTCTTACGCACTGATGCTTGTGGCCTTGGGTGGTCTTCGTTTTGCGCCTGGTTTTCTTTGGTTTGTGGTTTGGTGGCTTCGTGTTCTGTTTGTCGCCTTCCTGTCGTTGCTAGTGGGATCTTTGCGAATGGGTGTGTGTGTGTGTGTTAACAGTGTTCATACACGCATGGATCCTACATATATACAAACACCCTCGCCACCCTGAAAGGGAAGGGCCATCGGGCGCTAGACTCATGCGCCAAGTATCGGTGGTCAACTAGGGTCCCCCGGTTTTGACTCACAAGCATAACAAACCTAAGTTCTTCAGGCTCATCATTCTGTCCCCGATGGAGCAACATTTCGTGATACAAAGCAGGACCCACATGCCCAAAAGGGTATGGTCAACGGTAAAACCGACTCCTCCAAGTAGAAGAGCATCCAAATATACATCCAACACCCATCACAGGGTGGAGGCCAAGAATTGGCCACTGCTTGGGCCGGACACCTGTTTACATGTTGACAGCTCATGACATCTCCACCGTCTCCACCGGTCACGGGGCCGTACCACCAGGACCATTGATGACAGAGTAGGCCTAGAACCACGAATCACAAGCATGGAACATGGCTGAACATGATCAATCAACATAGTATGTTACCACATGGGAAAGCATGTGAAAATATGCGAGAACAATACATCTATGTAAATATAATATAAATATATATATATAATAGGTATATATAATATATACACTGGCCCTTCATTATTCATTCTAGCAATCGTGGACGTACAGCCGGAAAACAGTTTCATTCAGCAAATGTGACTAAGAGTGGCTCAGGTCCAGCTGTTACTATTACCATCAATTACGAGTACATCTCCCAGATTTGGGCATTGAATCTGTTGAAAGAAACCAGCATATTCGTGCACCGGCTCCGGCGTTCTGCGAAACCCTGGTGGATTCCCAAAAAGGAAATGGCAAGAATATCAATTGACCACATCTCTGGGCTCTTCGGATATCGGTCCAACATGATGCTGTCTGGACCGATGTCGCGCTTGGGTGAGAGATTGTTTGTTGGGCACACCCAAGATCGAAAGAAGTTATATATGGATTCGATGAAATTCCAAGGTCAATTCGCACCGCAAAGCCGCAAAAAATAAAAAGCCATTCGCTCTCGATCAAGCTTCGAGGGCTCGAAATGGAGAAACGTGTTTCGCAAGGTGATCGAGTACACATGCCTGGCCAGCAGTAAAGCCGCTTGGACCAAGGGGTTCGAACGTCGTTTGGTGTTGAATTTTACGTAGTTGTGCCACTTGTTCCGAAGAAAAGAAAAGTTCTTTTCCCTAGGATGTTGAAGCACTGTTTTCCTTCAATGTCCAATGTCCTTCAGATTGTTTTGTACTCGAGTCTTCGTGTGCGTGTTCGTGGTTTCCAAAATTTCAGGGTCCTTCATACAGGGTGTGTGGTTTGTACCGTTGCTTTGAATCGATCTAGAGCACAACCTAGAAACCAGGAGGCATTCACAGCCTGAGAGGCAGGTTTCAAGCTGCCACGCTATATTATAATATATTATATGATGCTAGGCTACATGATATCTTTGCCCCACGGTGTCCGCTCTACCTGTCTCGTAATGGCTGTAATGGCCTTCAATCGCCCCTTGAAGAATCGCTTGGAACCGATTTGGGTTCGGTAAGAACTTCTGCAACATTAATCACCACTCATCACCAGTCAGGCATTTCCCCGCACACCAGTGCAAATACACAAACTCCCGCGTCAGTTTGAACGAGAATGGTTGCCAGTCTGAAGCGGACTTTGGCCGCTAGGAAGGCTCTGGTGACTCCACAACTGGTGTGTTGCTGGACCAGTGTGAAAGTCCATGATGATGATCCATCTGAAGGAAAATGATGATGCTTTTCACCGGCGGTTGCAGTACGTGAAAATAGCAATGATGGCGCAGCACGCCTGGAGCTGTTGCAACAATCTCCCACTGTAGCACGTTGTGAACCTTACCATAAAGACAAACCAGTCTGTCTCCACAATGTCTCGACGCATCTTTGCTTGTTAACCAGCCTATTCTCGGCCATTGTCTATCTTAATGCAGCCAGATCCCGGCAGCCGGGAGGCAACACAAGTTCCATTCTGAACCATGGAAGCTGAGCTTCCTACGAACTTCCCCTTCCGAGCTGAAAGGTCCCACAAACCAAAGAAGTACGGTATGTGTGTGTGTGCTCAATCGGGAGGCCCCGTGGTCCAATGGGTAGAGTATGGTAAACTGGTCTGTTTTCCTTCTTCCGGAGTCACAGAAGAAGAGGTCTCACATGTGTTTCCTCAAACTTCCAGCATGGGCGGAACCGCCACCCATACCTTCGCACCACCCGAATCGGCCTGCACTCATCGGTCGCTTCACCTGGGGCTCGGATCCGAGCCGGGCCAGTCGCACACCCCAAACCGTTCCAGATCGGTCCCCTCTCACAGTGTCCAAATGATACTCTTAATGGCTCCGGCTGGGGGGCTTTGGACATCGCAGCTTGGGTGAATAAAAGCCTACATGCCGAAAGTTCGACCTTCTTTCCCCAATGGCTCTTGCAGTTGCTGCAGACATCCTTTCGTAAAACCCATCACTCCTCACGCATCCCTTTAACCACCTTCAACCCTGCAGCTTTAGGCGCTACTTGGAGAAGACTCCAACATCCATGAAAATCCGAACGCGACGCGTCCCTCCCAGCGGCCGCAACTCCGGCCGTCCCTTGAGCACCAACAGGCTGCGGAGGACGAAAAACACGCGATCGACGCAATCGGCTCGTCGGTCACCAAGGGCTCAGTCTGGCCGGATTGGAGCAAACATCAACACTTAGGAGTTGCGGAACGGGACCAAAGACTACGTTCAAGTTCTCATAGATTCCTGGTCAGGCCACCGTCCAACAATTACAACTGTTACACCTTGTTTTAGCAATCCCGTGCATAAGTTGCACAAGATGCATCTGAAGTTGCCGTGCTTGTTCTGTCTAGTAGGCCATTGGTCCCTCACAAATGCTTCGGAACGCGTGGTGATTGGAATGCTGGGCTCAAAGGATCCACAGAGTGGACCTCCAATCACAGAACGGTTACATTCGTTGGGTGAACAACCCACCCCTGAACCAAGTCACTGGTGAAAAGCTCGTGGCGAAAAGCTCTACCAAGAATTGGGCATGCTGCAGGTCGGAACAACCTGTGACACATTGTGACACAATCCTATAGTAGCCTAGGCAGCCATTTATATGATGGTTCTGTGCCAGGAAGGCATCTCGGTGCTAGGAAGCCTCCACCCCAAGAGCTCCACATCGTCCGACAGCATGGCCACAAAAAGGTTGATCAACCTTCCTCTGACCCCCCTGGATGGCAACATTCAGCATCCTTGGCAATGTGAAGCGTGCTTCTGGGGGGGTTGATCATTTGATCGAATGATCTTTTTGTACTGCTTCGACCTTTGGTTTACTGGTGGATCTTTTGGGGAGACCCCCAGTTCAATCAGCTGATCACAAGAACTGTTAATTAATATTCAGTGGCGGTCTTCACAAACACACGAACACAGACCCACACAAACACACAAACATATACTGTACATTTATAATATTATATATATATATATTTTATATGTTATTAACGCCTCCTCTCCTCTCCAGTGCCAGGTGACAACTCTGGGCACTGCTTCAGTGGCTTCTGCCATGTCCTCCTCGTGTGCGTAGCGCAGCAGGTATCCAGTGATCGGGTAGCCATTCTCGTCCACGGGGGCCCACCTCAAGCCCGCACCGGTGGAGACAATGACCACTGAGACCGTTGGCTGCGATGGACGGTGAGAAGACCCACACATGGAGTCCAAGAAATCCTTGAAATCGTTGAAAATCATTGAGATTTGCAAGATTGGAAGATTTGGTGAGACCGATTTGGTGAAGTCCCCGATGTGTGTAGCGCAGCACGCGATCAAAACCACCCAAGCGGAAGCTATCGGGGTGGTGCTTGCTTCGGTCGATGATCGGTGACGACGTGAGCACCAGTGACGACGTGAAGCCAAACACACCAAACTCAGCACTCAATGGAGTGGCTTAAGGGAAATATCTTACAGAAACCCCAGTTTCACCCCAAAAACTATCACCTACAAACAGAACTTGCGAAATGCAAGCTACTCTTCAGTTACCGGTCGTTTTATGATAGCAATGGAATTTTGTTGCAACACACCCAGTAGCATCCTATTTTTGGGAACGAGTGAAGCACTTGTGGACTTTCCTGGCGTGCTCAACTCAGGTAACGTATGCATCCGAATGTATTTCTGGTAAGGTTGGTGGTTGTTCTCACCCAAAGCTCATGGAACTAGCATTGTGGCCTCAAATCTACTCTCAAGCTGCATCGGCTTCAAGAGCCCAAGCACCTACGGAAATGTACTTAGATGTTGTGCGATGGTCAGCTCCAAAGTCGCAAAACTAGACACACATTCAGTGACTACAGTATACAGTATACAGTAATACAATGTAATACAACATGCCCAACATGTAGGGACCTTCGATCACCTGTCCCATAAAGAAACAACCACAACCAAATCAAAACTTGAGAAAATGAGAAAAAGAAACGATATGAAAGGATTATATAATGCACCTTTTGACGTACAGTATTATTTGCCCGTCCTTATGTTTGACTTGAGCGTTCTGGCACCGACGAGGCAAAAGTCGGATACCAATGCTCTCACTACGAAACGGATCTACTGTGTACAACTACCATTCTCGATGCCCCATGACCACCCAGAACGCCACGCCGGAACCAGGTACTACTCCCATCGTCCGTACTCCGCAAGTCAAAGCAAAAAATTAGAAACATGCAAGTTGCTTCAATCGGATGAAGGATTGGTAGATATCCGAAGCCTTCAGGGTCTCGATCTTGGCCTTGACCGCAATGGGTCCACGCATGTAACGGCGCTGCCCATCGAGATGTGGCCCGTGCTGGCTGGGCTGTGCCCAAAAACCAGGCTTATGGCACTGCTTATGACATGATGAAGTCCTGCCCATTTGGAAAGGTTAAGCCAACCCTCTGTGAGAAAAGGGTAGCAAAAGGGAAACTCGTCCACCTCACACAAGTGTCAAGGAATTCCATAAAATTGCATGATTCATATCTTCAATGTTGGATCAACTCGAGTGAGGGATCTTAAACAAAATCCGCCCTTTAAATCGTGAGTCAGAATAACAGACTCTCCAAGGCGTGGGAGTGGTTGAGGGCACCCGCTCCCGTGCAATCAGGAAGCGGCTGGACCATCAGCTATGGATGCGGGGTCGAAGCCACGTGAAACCCTGACCCTGTGGACACCCAGACCATCTGTAGCCCCCCGTGGGTTCACACACACACACACTTAGATTGATGCTCGCAAGAGCTGAATCAGTGAAGGTAGACCACTCTAGTGATTACGTTGCCCGCTGCAGGAACTAGACCTTGACTCGCAGGAGCGTAAGAGTTCTGGGTCGGTGTTGAACAAAGGTGAAATTGAGTGTGACTACTATTAAAGATTGCAGGTACAAGATACTGCGTCCAGTATCTCTTCCAGCCGAACACCATAGCTTTGTTAGCACGGCTAGGTGAACGGCCGCCGTGCCCCCTGCCTTTAAAAGAGTTTGAGTGGTTTTGAATTAACTTGCAATGTGTGAAGAGGTTTAGTAGCCACCTAACAAGCCTTAGAAAGAAAGGACAGGAAAGAATAGAAATAGAAAACGAAGAGGGCAAGAAAGATAGGTGTAGTTACGAGGCCCACTAGTTGCGAAACCTTCTAGTTACTGAATACTTAGCCGCATGAATTAAGTGCAATAGTTAGCGAGCGGGACATTAGTCTTAGACCGCCCGGGTAGGAAAGACTAGGACAGGAGAAACAGAAGGAAAGGCACCAACACACAAGTGTGTTGAGTGCGATTTCCTTCTGTTACCCTAATTAGAGGGGGGGAATAAGAAGTGTGAATTCTCGTGCATGGGTGGGGTGGCAGGCTCAGACGGAAAATGGTTGGCTAAGGCACTTGGTCAGAAAGCCGAAATCGGCGCACCCTTGACTAAAAGTTTACCTGAGACCTAAAAAGCCTCTAGCAACGAACGAAGACCTGAAGAAGAGGAAAGAACCCCGGAAAGAAGGACAGCAAGACCGTGCATGAATTACTCAGTGTGAGACGTACGAGTGCATACTTAGCACTTGACAAAAAGTTTACCTGAAACCTAAAAAACCTCTAGCAAGCGAAACAAAGACCTATAAAACGAAAAGCAACAGCAGGAGAGAAAAGAACTAACAGAGATTACTTAGCTGCATGGCACGCATTTTTTCATGACATGTGAATACTTAGCGGCATGGAGGATTCGTCAGTGGGCCCTGCGGCATTCGATCTCAGTGGGCCCTGCGGCATTCGATCAGCAATCTCAAGCAGAACAAACGAGCCAGTGACAATCAGAATGAAGTTCACGTGAGAGGGACAGAAGAAAACCAGTGATAGTCCCAAAAAATGGGTCTGTGCACATGCTGCGCCCCTCGATGGGGATCACACCACAGCCCTCAGTGGGACTCTGTGGCGACACACACTTAGATTGATGCTCGCAAGAGCTGAATCAGTGAAGGTAGACCACTCTAGTGATTACGTTACCCGCTGCAGGAACTAGACCTTGACTCGCAGGAACTGTAAGAGTGCTGTGTCGGTTCAACAGAACTGTTGAACAAAGGTGAAATTGAGTGTGACTACTATTGAAGATTGCAGGTACAAGATACTGCGTCCAGTATCTCTTCCAGCCGAACACCATAGCTTTGTTAGCACGGCCAGGTGAACGGCCGCCGTGCCCCCGGCCTTTAAAAGAGTTTGAGTGGTTTTGAATTAACTTGCAATGTGTGAAAGCCTTAGAAACAGGCGTTGACACACACACACACACACACCAATGATGCTGATTTCCTCCCACTTTCCACCGCCCAGTGGCAGGGATGCTCCCATCAGTAGTGCGGATCGGGATGCTGCCCTCGCTCCAAATACCCTTCCCATAGCGATTCCTGAAGGCTCACGGCTGGTCCATCGGACGAGCTGAAGAGCGGCAGAGTTACGAGGCAGAACGTTCCAAGCGAACACTGAGTCGAAGGATTCGGAGGGCCATGCACCACATGATGTAACATACAAGCCATGCATGGAGGGCCCTGCACCACATGATGTAACATGCGGTTGCTTTTCTCTAAGGAATTTTGGGAGGGTGTCCATAAGATGGTGAGCTAATTAATGCTAGTGCATTGTAAGTTTCCGTCCTTTCTCCAGCATCTTCTCATTGAGTGAACCCTGATCACCAGCTCGGGGAGCCAACCTCCAATCTTGGACGACATTAAACCCTCTCAGTCACGTCCCTCATGGAGTCGCCAAATAGAAAATGAATCAAAACGCCCCGCACCGTTGTTTTGAAGCTCTGCGCCGTTGCCTTGCACTGGTGGTCTCTGCTGGAAACGGGAAACCAAAACAAAAACAAACAAAACCTTTTGAATTTCCAATCTCTGGGTGAAGCTATTTCCGTTAAGGTTGGTCATAAGGTCACCATAAGGTGGGTCACCACCAATTCTCCACCCTCTCTTCCTCCCCGCAGGGATCGCAGTGCATGGCATGGCTCACAGCCCGAACCTGAAAAATGTAGACCTGCAGGCTGCGGCCGACCTTTTTAGGATGCCAAACATGGGAGACCAATCAATGGTGGGCTGTCGGTTGTAGGTAGAACATGGTCGAACGGCAAATCCCACCAGAGGATCGTGTGCGCAGTCGAACGGACAATCCTGGAGTTTGATGTGCGCGTGCGCGGCCAGTCAATACGACCTAGTGGCATTCACATTCTGAGACGAAGCACGCACATGAAATCATCGTATATCATCAACATCCCGAGTTCGATCGGGGGGGTGGGGGCGAGGCGAGCATGGCGTTTGGCATGGCGAACAGTGTGGAAATCTTGGTGTTAAAGAGAATCGTGGCTCCCAGATCACCCTGACTCCCCCCAAAAACCAACATTAATGTAGTCCTGTGATTAATAAACCCCCCTAGAATAGTGTCTTTTTTTCCTGCACAGATTAATAAAGGCCCCCAGAATGTCTTTTTTTTGGGCAGGGATAGTTGTAGTTGAATATTTTTTATTGTTATAGTTTACTTTTTCCCTTTTGAGTTTTCTGGGATTTGCTTATCTTACAGGAGAAGACCTAGAAGATTTTAATAGTGATTCATTTCGTTTTGGTCCTTTGATTAGTTTTCTTGTACATTATATTGGAGGCCCTGGTTGTTGAGGGGGGGGGGGGGGGGGGGGTTGATTAATCAAGGGACTACATTAATAGGAAAGCCCATGAAATGTAGACTCTTGATTGATGAAGCCCCCTGAATGGTCCATACTGAAGAAGGGTTGACAATCCAAATGGACAGGTTTTATGATTAATTATGAATCCCAAGTCTACCTCTCCGCTCTTCCGCCCCAACCCCAACCACCACCACCCCCACCAGACCGCGCCTGCCCAGGCCGGAGGCCGGTGATGACGTACTGCGAGAGGCTGGGCGACACATCGGTGATCTCTACCACCTCTCCGCTCCAATCCGCTGACCTTGCGCAGGTTCGGCACGGCCGCGTTCGGCCGCGTTTGGCACCGTTCGGCAGCGTTCGGCACCGCCGCGGGGCCGCGTTCGGGCCGGGCGGAGGCACCGTGTTGGTGCTGGGTTTGTTCGGGCTCGGTATAGTGGAAGGCGCGGAAGGATGTGGTGGATTGGTGGATCTAGGGGAGAAGGTGAAGGGTCAAGCAAGGGGAGTGGATGACAGGGGATTAAGCCGAGGAGATGGCACATAAAGCAACATGAATCCCACTTTGTGAGACCACCACCCCACGCACCGAAATAGATTGGATCTAATGAGGCTAATGGTCTATCGGTCTATCCTATTGATTATACCAGTAACCATGGATGATGATGGTTCAGTTGCAGGCCTTTCTCTAGTGATAATTCTTTACTGAGTGTTACAGGCCATCAGACCGGTTTGCGTTGCTTCCTACCAGGCTTAGCTGACCGTCCAGGCCGTCCGAGCCGCGAGGATGCGCGCGGTGCGCTCGACGTCCAAGCTGCGTGGTGTGTCGGAAGGAGAAGGAATCCACCGGCACGTCAGTGAAAGGCGGATGTTGCCACTGAATGACCTCTCAAGCCGTGCGTGGTTCAGAGTGGAGCCTTTATCTCCGAATGAGGAACCCCCCCAAAAAAAGAGGCAAGGGAGCACCTCTCCTCACCGTCAATCTGCTGAGAACCTAAGTACTATATGCTAAGTTGTGTGATTATAAATTGATTAAACCGTCAATGTCAATGTTCTTGTTTGTTTCATTAAATGGTCGAAATGCCTTCACCAAGGTAGAACCCATGCAGGGCATCTGCTCCGTTAGGGGGCAATAGGCGATAGGGCTGTTCAACCTCTCTAGGCTGGGTTCGTTGTAGGTGCCCTCTGGTAAACCTCAACCTCCAGGGTTCACACTCCCTATATATATATATATATAGGGAGTCTAGTTCAATATACACCCTCCCATATGACCTCTAGGTCTTCCAATCCATGCCTGGGACGTCATAGCTCAACGACACTCAGCTCGCCCTGGGCGAAAGCTCGGTCGCTCCGACCGGTCACCGAGGTGCTGCGGAGTGATGCGTGGAGCGGCGCAGCGTGGGCTGGTTCAAGGTCTTCGGCACCGGCGGCTCCGTCCTGGGCGGTGGAGCAGAAAACAAGGTGGAAGATGTGGTGGAACATGAGGGGCCTGCGTTATCCTGCGTTCACACTGGAGGTTGAAATAAAATTGGGGGGCTTAGCACTTGCTGCCCACAGATCATTCACATATGATCGATACCTTGTGGATTCATTTTTTTGGTACATTTTGTGTTGGGCCTGCGGCAATACATCATTTTCTGCTGGGCGCAAGCACTCTCTACATCTGAATGCGGGGTATGTAGATGGATATAAATCGGCCAATTGAAGAAAAAACACGAAAACAAGCGGTGGCCATACCATGGTTTGCTGGGATGGCCGCCCATCACGTCCTTCATGGCGAACCGCGCCGGAAAAACCGTGCTCCGCTCGCCGCCACCGTGCGAACTGGCTGGGCTCCGTGCTGCTTCGTGCTGGGCTCCGACCATTCGCTCCAGCCTGGGGGAGGCGGGGCCCAATCGCTCAAATCGCTTCTCCATGAGAAGAAGTGTCCGTTTTCGATGGGGGTGTGTCATCTCCATCTGAAAAAAAGGACATTAAAAAAAATATTGCAATAATTTACAGTATCTTATTTACATGACTCTAGCGCAAAACACGGTTAAGAACACCACTTGAACCTGAGAAGCTGCAAAACGAAAGCCGGCGTTTTTACTTTCGAGTGTGCTTTCTCAGGCCACCCCCCCGAACCCCCCTTCTTACTCAGCTGGCGCAGCTATAGATACCCAGGGTAACTACAATTCAGTTACCAGGAAAAGTACTTCAAGTTCCCTTTCCGTCAACCGCTTGATAACCTTTACACACGCACAGCAATCCACAGCTTTCAAGTCTCATTCTTGCATTGAACTTATATAGGTGTGTAAGAGGTATAGCAACATAGCATCTATACGGACCCAGGGTAGCTACAATTCTGTTGCCAGGTTTCCCATTTCAATTTCCCTACCCTGGGTCCGCGCGCGCGCGCCTTGCTGGCTCCCGGCTGCCCGTGATTTAGGCGCACGCGCGCGGACCCAGGGCAGCTACAAGGCAGTTGCCAGGTACACCCAGGGAGGGTAGCTACAATTCAGTTGCCAAGTATAGCACTGCAACCAACCGAAGACAATTGCATTTCTTAAAGTCACAAAAAAAGCACCTCCAAAACCTTGCTTCCGTGCACCCCTACACAGCACCTACTTTCGAGTGTGCTTTCTCAGGCCACCCCCCCGAACCCCCCTTCTTACTCAGCTGGCGCCTTGCCAGGTATAGATACCCAGGGTAGCTACAATTCAGTTGCCAGGTATAGTACTTCAAGTTCCCTTTCCGTCAACCGCTCGATAACCTTGACACATGCACAGCAAACCACAGCTTTGAAGTCTCATTCGTGCTTTGAACTATATAGATGTGTAAGAGGTATAGCAACATAGCATTTATACGGACCCAGGGTTGCTACAATTCTGTTCCCAGGTATCCCGCGCATGAAACTTCAAAGCTGCGGATTGCTGTGCGTGTGTAAAGGTGATTATCGAGCGGTTGATGGAAAGGTAACTTGAAGTACTATACCTGGTAACTGCACTATAGCTACCCTGGGTATCTATACCTGGCAAGGTGCCAACTACACTTTACCATTCAGATGATGCAAATGATGCAAATTGCATTTCTTGCATCACCACCCCTCAAAAATCACCTCCAACACAACCTCAAAAAACCTTCCATCCGTCCACCCTCCTCCCCCAGCATGTGCCGAGTTTACGTGTCCCTTTTGCGGGCCAATGCCCCCAGACCCCCTAACTACTCACTACGTTCGGCTGGCTTTCGCAAAAGCGCTTGTTCAAACGTTCAGCAAAAGTTTTGCTGAAAACAGTTGAAGGCTTCTAAAAGTTTGTGGTTTTTGAAGGAGGGCTCCTGTTTAGGGCTTTCTTCTCTTGCGAAGCTTCTTGGTGTCAGGCAGCAACCTAGTGTTCCTGCTCATTGTGAACTGTGTGCCCTATCTTTTGTATGTTGTTTTGTAATATGTATTGCATGTTATTTGCATGTTGTCTAACTATGTTTTATGATTTTAGAGTTAGCTTTAATCCAGGTCATAAAAGCAAAACCAATTTCACGTAGTTTCACAGAGCTTTTGTCGCATTTACACCCAATTTCACCGGATGTTCACGTGCTTTGATGTTCAACTGGGCACGGACGACGCATGTTCATGCCGAAATGTGCACCTAGGCTGTTCCAATGCACCCGTCCCAGTCGACGATGTCACATTTACATCCACTTTAGCACAAAATATGTGAATAGGAACATTTCTCACCAAACACATAAAATCACGTACTGTAAATACTGCATGATTGGCCAAGGATGTGAATGGTACATGATTGGATTGTCAGGGAACGTTTATATTATATGGGTCCTGTCCTTTTCTTCCTTGTCCCGACTTGTCCCCCCGTTCAGTCAGGCATCCTGCACAATTCTCTGCCGAGATCTGAAAAGTGTAGTCCTGGGAGCGGCTTGGTTTCTGCATTACCGATGTAAGCTTCTGCCAAAACGTACGTTCAAGCAAAGAACATGATTCAGCAATATTATCGGTTATCGCTTATGAGGGATGCCTATCGCTTATGCAGGCTTTAGTCCAATTCCTGACATTCACGACCGCTATATACTAAAATTATATAGTCATTGCCATTGCACGTTTTTTGGCGGTTGCTTATGTGACCATGACGGAATGTGAATGGGTTTCGCCATGTCAAATATTTGACTTCGGCGTGCATGCTCAACCTAACCATCCCTCATGTATCGCACCAATTTGTGAAACAGTCCACCACAGCAACAAATACGCACCCCCTTCCCTAAGAGCATGGTGAAATGAGAAACTCCGGTTCTGTGGCTTTCCACCTTGCGAAAACCGGTGAGAAGCGTCCCGAACGAAACCCACGCGCTCCGCAGATCGACGCAACACCGGTCTGCCCAAGCGTCAGTGAGACTCACTAGACCGGTGACCACGTAGAAGTCGGTGGCCTCCTCCACCAAAATCCTCGGAAGGTTCATCCCGGCGCGCGCGCGACATCCGGACGTGCAGACCTAGCACCTAGCACCTATAGGGGACCCTGGATTCTCTGGAAGGCTTGGGGATCTCAAAGCATCTCAAATCCTGGTTTGCACGGATCCGGGGATGTCCGGGGTCGTCCAGACTTCCGGGTCCACCGGGTCCTACGGATTTCGGGCGAACGGACCGGGTGTTGGCAAGTGCCTGCGACCAATGGCAACATGCCAATGGCTCCATGGGTTGTTTTGCATGGGTTTGTGGGTCGTCTTCTACCGTTTGTCACTGGGGCCTTCTTCAACCTGCCTCGCAAAAAGGCGCTCCCCTGCGCCACTGTAACCCTACCTTCAACAACAAATCTCCCAAATAAACCGAATCTTAAGGATTCGCCTCGGCAGTGGAGAATGTTGAACGGAGTTCAGGAGCAATTATGCACAATCCTGCCTGCTGGGGGCACGTTCTTGTTGTTCTTCCCTCAGTACCGGGCTAATGTCTTGGAGATTGGGGCGATTTGGAACACCCTCACTCTCAGCCCCAGCTCTTTCACACCATTTTCGTGTGGGCGCATCCCTTCAGTCGGCGCGAGAATTGTCATGAAAACTGAGTGAGACTGTCAAGCCCCCTGGGTTTCCGTATATAGTGAATACATGTACACTTGTTGTTAGAAAACTATCCTAGATAAAAACAACGGAAACACAATTCCAGGTCCCATAAAACTCGACAAATGTTGGAATCCAAGGAAGGCTTTTTCCAGGCTCCATGCGCCACACGCATGATGAGAGATGGCGAGAGCTTGCAGGGGCATCCAGGAAGCGAGCGGCCGGTGGCCCAAAGTGGATCTGATCTTTTTGCCTTTTGACTCGCCAAAACAAGGAAGGTCTGCAAAAAATGCAAATGGATTCTTGCAAATCAACAGAAATAATGATGTACATATATATATATATATTGTAATATATTATCATATATAAGTCAAGAGAACGATGCAGATTCGCACACAAAGAGCGCAGTATACATATTATACTATGATATATATATATATATACTTCTCCTATCTTGACCTCCATGCTCGATCCCTGTCATCCCCGTTTCAAGTGCCATATGGTTCACCTCATGGTTCACCTCAAACCAACAGGTGCTCGGACTTGGGCTCACCTGAGAGCTTCGTGAGATTCGTGCAGTCGGTGGCCTTGACAGATTTGATCTGCAAGTGGACTTGGCCTTTCAGGCCTTCTGCCCAGAAAGCCATGGTTCTCATGTCCTCAGGGGAACTCGCTGCACGTTTCGACACTGACCCCAGCACTGACCCCAGCCCCAGCACAAAAGAGAATAGAAGTGCAACAGGGATCCTTGACATATGAGTCCATGGGGAAGCGCCTGGAACACGGAGAACTACAAAACCCCATGATTTTGAGGCTCGCATCTTTCCAATCCTACCTGGCTTTGGCCGTCAATGCCCAACAGTTTAACGATACAGTATATTGCCCAAAAAAGGGAACGACCACTGACGGCTGAGTCAACAAATTACATTTGGGTCTGTTAATTTCCAGAGCCCATGCTTCTGAAATTTGCTTCATTTACCTTAATATTACAGTACTCACCTCAAGTTTGAAATGCTGTCTGGACCAAGCGATGCATGCGCAAAGATTGAGAACTTCCCGTCCTTCAAAGTCGTGGCATCTGGGCAGTAGATCTTGTTCTCCTCGCGAGGTCACGAGGTTGTGCGGTTCGTGAGTCCACCCAGACCAACTGGATCATCTTTGATAGTATATAAAGGGATAGTAAAGGTTCTGGTATCACAATACCCAAATCGTCCAAGGTGCTTCTTGACACAAACCTGAGTCACTCAAGGGACCAACTGTACTTTCCCATCGAAAAACGCTATGCACCTAGGAAACTGCAGTTCATATGGTTGGATAGGGCCCGGCACTCCGGATCGCTCTTGGTGGATGCCACTCCTGGCAGGTCTTGATGGCCTCTCCAGTCGCATCATCCCAGAAATCTGTGAAGCCCTCAATGGGCAGCGTCACAGTGTTCCACTCGGCCACCTTCCCAGCATCGAAATTGGACTTGTAGCCTCGAACCGGGACAAACCAGCGTTGTGGTTCGGCGGTTGCCGCGGTTGTTGGGTGATGGAATCGCAAAAGCAAAATACATGAGAGGTTCCTAGAGGTTCTATTTTTGTGTGGTTGAGTTGGCATTGGATGTTGCATGAGTTGCATGTATTCGATTGCGTGGTGATTTGGCAGTGAATCCAAAGAATGGATTTGGGGTTGTAAATGTAACTTTTCCCGCAGGTGGCCTATGCTTGAGAAAACCCAGGCTTCAACTGGCCATGACACCATAGGCATGGAACTTCCCTCCAGGCGCATGGGCGCTCCCAAAAGAGAAGCGATAGCCCTTGTAGTCCACCATGGACTTCACCTGACAGCTGCCACTGCTGGCAGGAAGAGCTATGAAGATTATGAAGTACTATATAGGATAGGCATAGTTGTATGTAATATATATATATATACAATAAATATATATATATAGTTTCTGGAGCAGCAGGCACGGCCAAGGCTGAAAACTCTACGAAGAAACCCGTGGTTCGAGGAAGAGGCGCTGCTCTCAAGCGTTCGAAAAAAAAACACCTCGGCACCTGCTACTCCTCCTCCAGCCTCCTGCTGCTGTTCTTACATCCGCCAAGAGAGGTTGAAGACCGTGGTACATATGGAATAGGGCAACAGGGGGCCGCTCAACCTCTCCGACCATTCAGGTGGTACCACCAGTGGCCGGGCCAGGTGAAGGATCTTCACGAAGCCCTTCGCACGACCTGTGAGTTCACACCGAGAATTCCATCGTTGCTCCGCGCGTTCATGTCACATGGTTCCCGTAACCACCTTGAACCAAACATGGTCCCCGCTGTTCGCGGCGACTGCCAAACAAAAACCCTGGCCAATGGAAGCGTCGGCGTGACCCGTACGCCCTCTTGCCCGACCTCAAGGCTTAAGCTCTTGCAGCCGGTAATGTCTGGGAAGATCTCGAAGGGGCTCACATCGGTGACGTAGGCCTCCACACAACACAACTGCAGAAAATAGAGCTCCACGACCGCAACAAGTAGAATCTCACACGTCGGAAAACGGCGAGTAGAACATGGTTTTCTCTCTGAACCCCCGGCTTGCGCCTGAATGAAGCCAGGCGCTTTCAGGTATGGCACATCGGCTACCTGCCCCAGGAGGACGCCCACCCCATCCGCCACGGTGAAGTTGCCCGAGGATTGGCCACCCATCACCGGATCGTTCATCTGCGTCCACTGGTGGGGAGCCTGGAAGAAGTGGGGGCGAGTGTAGCAGCGAAATCTGGTGGGAGAGACTTGGGTCTGGTGATTTTTGCGGGGGTGTCATGGTGAAGTTCTGAACATGTCAGTTTTTTTTGTAGCAAGTCGTTCAGTGAATGCCTCCCGACTTCTACAAGTCTTCACCGCCTGCTTTCAACATTGTCAGAAGGAACTGGTCAAAAACATGACCTATGGTTAGATGCTTTTTTTGGGGCTATCATTTGCGAATCTCAAATTCAGTTTGCACTCCAGTTTGCCTATGAGGCATGAAACATGAACCTGTTCAGTAGTAGTAGAAGATTGGTCTGGCAGTGGCTCATTGTACAGTACATCCCTCGATAATTTGTTTACCCAAAAGGGTGCACCCACAACAGACTTGACATGGGTTTTACAATGCTAGGTAGGGAGAATTCCATGTGTTGGCTGGTGGCTGAGAAAGGGGAAGTTAGAGAGAACATCTCTGCTGCGGGGTTGTTGTTGGCCATCGACATAATACAAAGGTCAATTATACAATGCCCCCTACCTTCTGGGTGGCGACAGGTGGGGCGCCCACCGGATTTCAACGGGTCCAGCGTTCGTTTTGTTGCTCAGGTGGGGCCCCCTACCTGGCAAATGAGAGCTCGGTAGGCTTCCGACTCAATTATTTGAGGGGTACCCCTACCCCCTGGGCCACCCCGTCACAGCAAAATTCCTGCGGCTATTATTTGAGGTATCCTCACGGGTGGTTTGAAATGTTTTTTTGGGCAAAATGTACCTTTGGAAGCAAAATTATGTTGGGTACCTTATACCCAATTCTTAAGCAAATACAAGGGTCCTCACCCACCACCCCCTTTCTCAAATATGTTCCAAAAAATATGTCTAGTAAATTATTTTGGGTGACGGTATACCTCAAAATAATTTCTCAAGGGAGAAGCCATACTATTATATATTATAAATATATATGTGAATTTATAAGTTTTTGGTCTATGCCAAGGATGATCACCACGCGCTTCTCGAAGAATGCGACGTTTTTCAGGTCAGCCATGGTCAGCCACCGGGTCTCTGTTTTCCCGTGCACCTCACAGTCTCACAGTCTGGACGATGTCTCACCTCTACACCATCTTGACCCTCTGGGGAGGCCCTCTGGGACTGGGACCCTCTGGGCATGACTCATGCCAACCCAAATGTGTTCATGCCAACCCTGGTTCCACAGCGGCTTCTGTGGGCCGGATCGTCCAGCCCATGTAACACTCGACCAATTGGTGGGAGAGGCAAATATGTTCAAATCATATCGTTGCCGCATCCTAAAAAACCTTCTAATCAATGGCCGGTCCGTGGAAAGGATCGGGCAGGGCGTGTTCATCTATTTTTGCTATTGAAAACGTCCAAGGGAACTCCATATGAGCTGATTGACTTGTGTTCAGAGTCGATGGGAGACCACAGTGATCGTGCCCTGCATGCGAGACCGCCTGGCCATCGAAGGAGGCCAAAAGGATTTCGCTCGCACCAGCAGACCAACACAGGGCCAGGTAAGCGAGGCGGCGCGCCATAATGAGAAAACGATTGCAGCTCAAGGGAGATAAACCAAAGCCTTTGGAGCCGGAGCCAAAAAGAATTCCACAATCAATCCCGAGGCTGTATTGCTTCTAAGCGAGTATCATGTGTAGAGATATGTCCACGTGGATTAGTACAAGGTGCACGTTCGCACACGGCCTGCTGTAAGAAGGCTGAAGTTCGTTGAACTGACTCGGAACCTGGAAACTGGTCAAATCGCCGTACTCTGAGGGTGGTCTGGCGGCCATCATTGGCCGTCCATCCGAGGGAAGTGACCCTGATCCATCGCATGCAACAGGGTGGTCTTCCCAACGTTCGTTCTTCAACACCTCAACACAAGAAGCACGTACACTCCCATCGTGGAAGTGAAAAAAAAAACAAACACCGGGGAAAGTCGAGGAAATCGTCATGTCCAGGTTGCCATGGCGCCCACTTCCATGACCATTTCAGGGTATCTCAATCTTCGCATCCCAAGGCTCTCTCTTGTCATTGGTTCGTCATCCGAAAGCCTCGGGTCCGAGGCGCGGTGAGGATTCTGCAGTGGTGGAGAAGGGGATTGATGTGTGTTGCTGTTTCGTGGTGCAAATGGCGTTAGAATACCCAGCATCTTGTGGATGCAACACTGATGCATCTGACTGTACAGCCATGATTCTGGGAAAAGTTCCGGTTGCTGCCAGGAGCATCCAATTCGTTGGTAGTAGTCAGAGTCACGTCAGTCCAAACATACCATGGGCGGGCCAGGTTCTCTTTAAGCTGCAATGACATGGTCCCACTGCCACCCAAAGATCGAAAAAGGACAGAAACCAAAGGCTCACTCTCCAACAAACAACATCGGCCGCACTTTGTGGACCATCTTAATCTTTGTAGACCAAACTCATGTTCCGAAGAAATGTGGGAGATGTTGCTTCTATTGTGGGGAGGTTGTTTCAGCGCCGAACGCTCCAATCATTTGATCAAAGTACTGCTGTACAGTCTGGACCCCTCTCTGAAGACAGTCTATAAGATATATAACTTGGTGTAGGTAATGAATGTCTCTGTGTGCGTGTGTATTTTCTTAATATATCAAAAGAGGGTGTGTCTGTGTGTTTGTGTGTGTGCATGCCTGCGTGCATATACTCTGTTGTACTCGGTACATGCTGTTTTCAGCTGTTACCCCACCAAGAACCCTGCAAACAGCATGCTTGGTCCATCGAAATGCTCCAAGCAGCCAGCTAACCAAGATCTTGTAGCGCAGCACTTGCAGCTCAGCAACCGTCTAGCAGGTGTGCGAAACGGCTTCGTCCCTCAAGGTCCCTCTTCACCCTGTTCATCCACTTGTCAGCACTGGCCAAAAGTGCCCAGAATCGAAGCCAAGCCATGGAGACACATTCGGCAAGCCAAGAGCCAAGCCACTCATTCACCACCAGTTTCATCTTCAGAAATTTGGATATTCCAATGTGCTTTATAGATCCATGCACCTAAGAAACCTAAGAACTCCTGGATTTTCAGCTGCTTCTGGATCTCTCTCTGGGCCAGTGTCCGGATTCACCCCTAATTAGTTCATGCCCAACATCCCAACTTGCTCCTGCTTCTATCTTAGCACTCCAACCCACTTAGGGCTCACTCCAACCTGCCCCCACCTTCACCCCCGCCCCGACGCACGCGACGATCGCGCGCGACGATCGCCCGCGCCGTGGCCGTGTCCAGGGGTGGCGACCAGCGGACCTTCACCGCGTCCACGCCCAGGACCTGGACCCAAAGGAGCACCAGGAACGGGGAGGACGTATGGAGTGGTTGTCGTTACTCGTTGTCTGAAATCTTCGTGGCTTCTTCTTCTTCTTCTTCTTCTTCTTCTTCTTCTTCTTCTTGCTCTCGTGGGTGGGTGGCTCGCTGCTGGGTTTGCCCTTCAACACGGCGCGCGCCTCGCAAAGCAGCGATGCCAACTTCGAGGGCACCTGGCGTCGTTCACAGTGGCCCCACGGAATGAAGGGCCAGCTATATAACTGAACAGGGGTGTCGGGGAGCACCAAACTGATGTCGGGGTTTTCGTGGTATATAGATATATATAGATGTTGCACAACATGACCGTTACCTAAAGAATTGCCAATCTACCGTTTCTTGTTTGTCCATCTTCTATGATGAACGTTCATGAGGTTGAAGTTCCAAAAAGGTGCTTACGGACGCTCCACAGAACCAACATTATTCTATCTATTTTCATGGTTTGTTCTATCTTTCAATCAGTGACTTGATCACGGTGACACTTTGAACACACTTTTGCCTGGGTCAAAGTTGCCAATCCAACCTGACCCATGTGGACCATCACCTAAGGTCCTGCTGTAAGTCGACACATGATTAGGAACACTCTTGATAGTAAGGCCATGTAAGACCCGTTTTTTCTTCCTGAAAACCATGCAATACTAATTACTAATCACCGCTCTTCCCGGTCTTCACCCCCTTTGATATGCGATCTGGTATGGATGCTGGCTGATTGGTGGCTCATACCTTTGGCAGTTTGCCCACGCCACTCAATGAAAACTTAAAATGAGTCAACGAATCATAATATCAAATCTCCTTCTCCACCACCTCTAGTGCAAGTCAATCCAAACAATCAAGAATCCCCACAAAACATCACAATTCAAGCTCTCAAAGGAGGTCCCCCGAAAATCCTCTGACTCTGTATATTCATAACCCACCCCAATGAATTTGGTCCCCCCCCCGGTGGAAATCTACTAAGCTATCTAAGCTACTGTATCACTCCTCCCGATCGAATCTTCTTGTGAAGAAATTGGGTCGTTGGAATCTCTCCTGATGGACGCAGCCACAATTCATAACATGGTTCCGCATGATTGGATTGACCTTCCGACCTTCTCGGGGGTGATGGTAAAATCCATGTGTCGACATGATGCAATGGCTTCATGGACATGGACATGAAGCAACCAAACTCGCTTCATGTGATGAATCTACTCAAGAGGTGCATCATCAATTTATCAATCATCAGTTAGTTAATTTTCTTCTCCCCTCAAGCAGCCTTCTTCCACCCCCCTCTTTCTCTGTAGCTTCGCTGTGCAGAATCGGGCGGCGCGGGGCTATGTCCTGTTCGCACCGGTGCTGCCCCAAACTCACACGGCTGCGGACGGCTGCGGAGCGAAACGGCTGCCTTAGGCGGCTGCCTTGGAGCTCTTCCCTGAATCCTTTGGCATGTCAGGCAGCTCCTTAGCAGTCTCACCTTAGCACAAAGTGGATGAGGGCATCTGGATTGGCACTGGTGTCGAGAAAAAGGAGCAGAACCGATTCAAGCTAGAATCAAACAAAATGCGACTTCAAGCTTCAAGCAATCTTCCAACTTAAAAAACAAACAAAACTCACGGCGCAAATCCCAAGTGTGCACCTTCTGCATCCTTCTACAGCCTGCTTCTCCCCAAACGATCGGCGTGAAACGTTGCCGCGCACGCGCTCCGCGCACGCAGGTGTGCGGCTGCGCCACTCCAATCGAAGAGGTCCTCCAAGCCGATGCCGCACACCTCCAAGGCCGCCTTGACCCAGCGTGGTGGGCACACCGCGCAGGGCGCCGGTGTGGCCGTCGGGAAGAAGTCCTTGAGAAACTGCCGCACCCAGTCCTGAGCGGCAAAGCCAGACGATACAGGCGATACACGAATTAGACCGACGATCCGAGGACCACAATCAATGCACTGGCAAATGCCCAACGGTCCCAATGATCATTGAAATTCTTTGACCTGTTCTGTGAAAAGTCCTGGTGCATGCTCACCTCAAAAGGGCTTGAGTCAACCTGAGGCTTTGGATGTTCATACCCACCTCTCACACCGCCACACGTGAGCTGTGCTGCGCTGTGCTTCACCGGAGCGTCTGAGAAGGTCTGCGCTTTGATGGCCTCTCGCATCTCCGTCAACAGGTTTAGCCTCAGTCCCAAGGCCCCAAGAAAGCAGGCTGGCCACGAGTCGTAGCTGGTGCACCAGGGGGTGCCCAGTTCATCGTGGCGTTCGTACATTGGTCAAACGAAATATATGTCTTCGATACTTGGTTTGTCCCCGGCACGGGCATGGATGTACAGAACATGACTTGATTTAGCTTGGGACTTATGACCTAGGTGAGCCCTTCAGCCTGCTGCCCCGTGTCTACGATCTCGCCCAGCAGCATGAACCATAGGTTGTGCCAAGTGATGAGCTGCGCCGCCACAGGCTCCTTGGTGACAATCGTGTGGAGCATCGCCCGAGTGTACTCCTTCAACGGGCCTTCGTGCGGGCAGCGGACTCCAAGGCTCCACTGGGCGACCATTGTTGTAGAGAAGGGGCATCCAGAATTGATTGGAAAAATGGTCATTGCAAGGGTTGGCTCCCTGTTCTTATTTTGATATTATTTTGCAGAGGCCAAGCTCCTACCATCCAACCAATGGGGAATAGCAGAATGTTAGATGGTGTGTCTAGACCCCCCAATGTTTTGACCCACAGCCCATAATATTCAAGTAGCCGTATAGGTCCAGGTCTTCTCACCGAGAGAACCTATTCGACTATTCGACCTATTCGCACTCACCGGTGACGCTCATCAAAAAACTGCTGGGACAACTCATTGCGTGGGATGCTGCCAGCAGCTACTGCTGAAAATGGGTCGAAGGTCCCACGTGTGTGGCCACCTTCGATCCGTTCCCGCCGATCAAAGCATATCCCCTTAAGTGACACCCTCTGGGAGCTCTGCTTACAAGAAGCCTCTCCTACTTGCTCAATACCAGTATCAGCCATTCCAGGTTGCCTTCTGTGGGGGGTGGATGATGCTTATATCCCGCAAAACAGGGATGGTGTTCTCACCCGAAACCTCGTTGGCAGTGACCTACCCTAGCAAAGGCCTTGGCAGCAAATCCATGCAAATCCGTCGCACCGCACCACCGCCCCACCCTTTCCCATTGACCTCCCCGCCTTTCCCATTGACCTCCAGCGGCCGGAAGTCCTGCGCGAACTCCGCGCTGGTCAGCCGGAGCTGTCCACTGCGCACCAGGGCGGTGCCGAAGCGGGCGGTGCGACAAGGGTAGACACAATCCTCGGTGTGACAGGGTGACTGCACGGAAGGGATCGGACAGGAGCCCGTCCCACAAGTCCAGAAGACTTCAACGGGAGTCCACCAATGCAATGGGGGTGGTGTGTTTGACAGAATTGATGGGGCCAATCAGGTTTTGCACTGGGAGACGCAGGCAACAGTGTCTCCAGTCTCCAGTCTCAGCAGTTGTTCGACCAGCTCTTCTATCACGCATCTCCTTTGAGGGATCTACACTGGATTGAAACCAAAGCCTCCTGGTACAAACCAAAGCGGTGAACGGAAGCAGTTCGTCCTCCGCCACAATATCACACAGTATGCAATCCAACAACCTGAACAGGTATGTCTTGGCAGCTGGTGTAGATGTCTAGTGTGTGGCAGGCTGGATGATGCTGCTGATGAGAATGAAAAACACTAATTTTACCAAGTATTACCACAGGGTTCTTTCAGCATGAGAATGAGAACTGGTTCAGACCGATGACCCAAGTCCTTTATTGTTTAGGCCACCAGATCACCCTCCAACTGTTTTGGCGCATGTCACGCAGCTTGCGTGGGCGAGCATCGAACATGTCGACCCCTAGGGCCACGCAAATGACAATGTCCTTAGAGCCGCTGGCGGGTAGATGATCAGGACATTACACCATCTGCCCATGACGAGAAAATGGGTCACAAGGCATTTCAGTTCCACTGGAGTCGGTGAACATTTGAGCAAACGAAAACCACCGATCACACCCCAGCCAAAGGAACTTTGTTTGTCAGATATATAGTGGAAACATTTCAAAGCACCACTCGCTTCATTCGCTGGCAGCAGTGCAGCTTGTGCGTTGAAGCCGATTTAGCTGTTGCCATTGGCGTCCCAATGGAGTGGTTCTCAGTCCTCCGACTTATTGCAGACTGCAGTCTGAAAAATGTTTTTGAATCCACGTGCAAAGCTCTCGGGCGTGGGTCAGGAGATTCATGCATTCATTTTGATGTTGACAATGTGACAAGTGGGCCATGGGGGTTCGGCTGGTGCAGGATTTCTGGCATTCCCATGGCACTTCCTTAAGCCTTATAATATAGGCCCTAGTATTAAGAAAAGTACCTTGTGGGAATGGTGCAAGTCAAGAACCACTATAATATACCATGTCTTGACTCTGTCTGTGTTCTGCCAATCGGGTGGCCGAGACAAGAACTCTTTGGTCCTGCGCGCGCCAAGCGCCTTCTCCCTCTTGGGTGTGCAGGATAAAGCCCCCCAAGGCCAAATGCTGTCCCACAAATCCAAGCGTCCAAAGGATAGCCGACGCCCATCAAGTACCGAGGCTTGTCCTCCCGGATTGGATGGGGTGGGGAAGGGAACCCTCGTGAGGCCCCACTGGCATATTGGATGGAACTTTTACCGTCTTGCCCCGTGGGATGGATGCCATATAGTTGAACTTCCATTAAAGGCATATCATCGATAGGGGCTATATAGTGTGTATGGTAGAAACTCGCTAGAGAATGATAGAGACCTTCTAGAAAATCAACTGGAGGACAAAACAACGAACGCCTTATGATGGGCAACCCAGGTCATGGTGGCTCCCCTTCGTCTTTCCCACAAGATCACACACACAAACCAAGGCCAAAGGAACGGCAGGAACGGCACGCAGAAACGTCACACAAGCACACCCCCTTTGTGACAGTCATCTACCATCATCTACCTTGGTCAAGGCTTTTAACCAGCACATGGAAAAACACAACATATCGACGTTGTGTTGTGATATATGTTGTGTTTTTGTTCACCAGCCAGGTTGTGAAAGGTAGTTCACTGGGTTGGTCAAACACATTCACATGGTTATTGAATATCCAATAGCACCAACCCAGTGAACAATCTGCGCCACCCCCGCAACATGCGCCACCCAAGGCTGGCCTCGGGAAGCCCACTGCCAGGGCGGGTGCACTGCTCCACCACCTGCCACATTGTTCTGCAAGAGCTCTTTACACTGCCCCGATGAAAAGTCATGAAAAGTCCATTGGTGGGGTCTGTGATATATATATATATACATATAGTCATATTAGGAGGCCCAAGCCAGCAAACCACCTAGGACCTAGAAAGGATCATGTTCATGTCTTGGAGTCAAGATGAGCATAATATATCATAATATAGTACGCGGGTGCACTCATATTATCATATTGAGACGACCCTGTCATAGTCTGCTGAAAAGCTTGGAGATTCCTCCGGGGTCCCCCGCAAGCCCTTGCCTTCCAGAACTCATCTTTGGCCTCGCCACCGCTCAAGCCGCCAATCGCGTAGCCCGGCAGCTTCCGCTTGATCATCTCCTGTCAGGTGTTGGCCGGGTCGCTGAGGTCGCTCAGGTTGGGATCTTTTTCACGCCATGGAGTCCATGGATCGAAGTCTACGCGATTCCGCGGCCACTCCTTCAGAGAATATTCTCTCAACCCGTTTGGAGAGGTGTCCAGGTGCCCTTGCACGATGCCGAAGAGATTCCTGAGAAGCAGTCCAGGAGACAGGCCAGTGATGCAAGAAGTTCTGGCATTTTGCTTGTCTTGGTATTCGGTCAAAACATGGTGCCATCCAGTTTTGAGGGTTCCTTACACAACTACATACACATATATGCTATAATTACATACTACTTGCACCCCCAGATGCTCACTGTTGCCTATTCCGGATTTCGGCTCCAACCCGCTCTGCTCTCCGCTCTCCGCCGCGGCTCTGCCGCTGCGGGTTCCGATGCGCCCCGATGCAGCGATCGATCCAGCGGAGGGTGCGATCCGTGGCTTCGCGGATCCGCGCGGCGTCCTTCACGGGGTCCAGGGTCGAGGACACCTGGGCGACGCGGGGCGTAGGTGAGAAAGAGAACGCCAGGTCGAGATGAGCGGTTTTCGTGCGAAAACGCCCGCCGATCCGGATGGGTTGCCCAAATTCGGGGCAAAATGGCAAAATGGGGAAAGAGAAAAGGAGTGGGCCCAAACTGCAAATGCATGAGGCTTGATGGTTCTTGGCACGCTGGGGATGATGGCATGACCAAAGGGCACTATATGGTACTATGGGGTACAGTATGACTATTATTGTTTCCCTCTCCAATGTCTGATTGAATGCCAACAATGGAACAGTTTTCCACTGCCCATGTCCTCAGTGTGGTTCAAGGTGGTTCAAGCAAAGGAGCCAAGAACTCACCAATTTGGCTTTCTGCTTAAAGTTCAACGCATGGTTTACACCCCGTGAGAAAACGCGACAAGCCCCTTAGCCCAAGGGTTGAAACATGTTGAAAGTTTGGGGCCAACACCAAAGTCGACCAAAATAGTGGCAAAATCTCAAACGCCCTAGTTTATATACTATACTTTCAATGCCAAAGCCGCTTGGACATGGCATGGCACCAACCTCCCAAACCATTTTAGATCGGAATCCACATGCACCACGATTGGGGCTGCGTGCAACCTCCTGCAACAAAGCTACCAGTAGAACAAATCCAAGCCATACACTTTAACTCAGAAACATGGAAGTGGAAGTTATGTAGTCCGTGGAATTCGTCGTACGTTCTTGCTTTAGGAACAGGTCCATGTCGTGCATTCGTCGGAGGCCAGTTTCCAGCCAAAAGGCCACGTCATCAAGGGCCATCATGATGTCTGCACCTGCTGGGAGTCAGAGCAGTTCAGCCTGGTAAGGCCCCCTGCTGAGCATTGCGGCATGACAAAACCTCGTTGAAGAATCACCCGGACCATAAGAAGACCACTGCACCATTCACACACTCAACTCACTATAAATCAACTAACATCACATCCTTCTGCCAGCCTTAGTAGCCAAATAATGCCAAATATCTAGGCGCCCTCCGAGACCCAGTAAATCCCACAGACCCTTGTCCAGTCATCTGTCTGTGAGATCCCCGCCAAGCGCACGAGGATGCTTGGCACGCCCCAGCTTGGCCCCTTCTTGATGCTCCCATGCTGATTGCACAAACAACGAGTCTTGAAGGCTCTCTCTATCTACAGTATAGTTTTATACATAATTACATTACAATATGTTTACTATAATAATATCGAACTTACCCCCTGTCTGTGTGCGGAGGAGTGTCCAACCCCAACCCAACACCACCCCCCCCAACCATCGCCGTGGTCAGCTCTCTGCCCGCGTCCGCGTGCTGTCAGCTCCCCACCGATGTCGTTCTGCGACTCGATGGACTTCTCCGGCGTCAGCAGCATCCGGCTACCGGGGCTCTTGGGATCTTCGAATTCCACACCCGCCTCGGTAATCACCTCACTCGCCGCAGTCGCTCGCAGTCTGATAAAATACGAAATATACTATAGCTATAATTAGGAAGTTTGCACGTAGGTTGTGAGGCCTCAGAAATACCCGAATTCTACTCCACGATTCAACTTGTGATCCTAGACATTTGTCTCGGGGGGAACGCCATGTCATGAAGCCGGTGTTTCTGATTGTTACAATGAAAGGTTTCCCGAGAACAGGAAATGCAAAACAACTATACTGACCCCAATCTCATCGTTCACTCTCTGCTCTATCCCTGGGCAGTAGATGTGTTCGAGTTAGTTGTGCAAGTATTGCCATGTTCCATGTTCCACCCCATGTCAAGCGACAATCAACCACTGGTCCGAAAGCCCAAAGCCTAGCAAAGTGGACATCAATCTAGCTATGAGGAACTGCTTTCTGAGAGTGGGCACGACTTGCACGGCTTGCACTGACCCCCATTCAAAGGATTCCAAGTTACGCCACCACGACCTGATCATGGCTCAGTTCATGGCTCTTCTTGAGCATGCTACGGTACCCTTCTCCTCTCTGCTGCTTCCGGTCAATCCCGCACAGAAGCAACAACTAATAAACAACACTCCGGTCAACCCCATCATCAACTCTGGTGTCTCGTGTCTCGCCCAGGCGCTGCCAGTTTCAGCAAGGAGACCATCTGAAAGCCACCGCTGTCGGTCAAGATGTTCCTGGGAGCTCGGATCCAGTGGCCCCGTGGCCCATTCCACCAATGCTTGATTCGGGTGTGACGAGGGGACGGTGCTTCCACGCGAAAACGAAGGATGAAATGCGGCATGAGGTGATTCACAGATTAACACGCTGACTGCAGAAACATCAACCACTCGAGAAATTCTGGTCCCAAGCCTGTCTGGTGGATCTGGTTCACTGCAGTTTGCTGCTAAACTTAAAAATCATCAGCACATATCAGGGATGATGAGGGCTTGTGTGCTAGTTCATTGTTGTCTCAGTATGGACATGCTTGGATTATTGTAGTGTATACCGTATACAGTAGATTGTGGAAAAAAAGCTTTTCTCACGCTTCGTTTGGTCAAGCATCCCATCCCACTGCATCAGCTTGTGCAAGCCGCCGCATGTCCGCAAGAGCTCACACGTCGGTCGGTTGGCCAAATGAAAGGTGTTTCCGAGCAAAATCCGGCAGCCCAGGGTCTTCATGTCTTCTGACGACATGCCTCTCGGAACGGACACATGGCTGTTGATACAACCAAGTGCTGCACGATGTGATCAAAGATAACCATTGCTCAGAACTGTAAGAACTTCTTCCACCAATCCACAGAAGTCCTACATAATGGTTATCAATTTCCAGTCATGGTTCTTGCTTCTGTATACTTCTGTTGATGAATCAGTCCACCTCTCCCCCGCCTTTGATGGTCCCCTGCGTTCCCACCGGCATGAAGACCGGCGTGAGCACGTCGCCATGCGGCAGCGTCACGGTGCTGGCGCGCGCGCGTCCGCAGGTGGCGTCCAGGTGGAAGACCAAGGGAGGCCGCCCCCTTGGGGAGACCCGCCGAGCCCGGATCCGAGTGGTTTTGATGGGTGGATGGCGGTGACCCAGTCACGGTGACCCAGTCGGATTTGGGTGAGTCACGGTGAGTCTGTGAAGTCGACCATCTTGCAACATCATCTTTGCCTCGGCCCTGGTCCCGAAAAGCTAAAATTACCAAGTAAACAGGAAGCAAGTGCAGACCCATTGGTCCATCTGGTTGGTTTGGTTGGAGGTCTGACAATCACAAGGAAACAACTGGTAGCCGCAGCCTCAATCTGCTCCCTTTCATGGGACTCCATGACAAAGGCACTCCTTTTGGAGGAGCACCCCACCCCCGTGCTTTCGAATTACCAAGCCACGTAGGATCCTCCGCAGGGGCGGATTGGCCGTCGTCGTCGTCGAGCTTCCGCTTTGTCATGAGCAGAAACTATAGCGAGGAGGAATGCCGTGGAAGGCTTCTGTGGGAATGAGTTCAGTTGAGCAACTATAGCCAAGGCCTTACTCCAGCAGTTCCAAAGGAATGGTCTTGGAGGTTGTCCATGTCAGTGCACGGAATAGTCCGTTGATATCGGCACCCCCACCGTCCAATCGTCACCCCGGCATGGAACGTTTGGTATCTTGATGCTGTTTTCAGTACCTCGCACAACAAGGGCCGGCCATCTTTGCTGGTCGCATTGTTGGGATCAGAAAACTTCACTTCACTCATTGTCATTGTCTGCTAAGTGGCTGGAATCCGCGCATGTCCAAATACGAATCCTGCTTGAGTCCGCATCTTTGATGGCTTTGGGGGGAGCTGCCCTGGTCACCAGTCAAGTTGAAGTGCTCGGAACATGAACCCACATCCTGTCACTGCGGTCTTTGGGCACGAGGACCGAGCAAGATCCGAGGACGAAGCTTAAGGTCTAAGCAAAAAGCGGTAACCTGCGGATTCACCCAGGAGAACTTGATAACTTATGACAAACTCCATAAGTGACCAGCCGAAGATCTTCAGGCTGCAAGCCAAACGGCGATGTTCGGAGATGAATGGGCGATTGTTTGGGCACCCAAACCCTGTGAGACTTGTTGGTGCGGGGGTCAGACGTAATAGGACTGGCGAACATAGATTATTACTAGGTGGCACCTGCTTGCACTACCTAAAGGTCCCTAAACACCAGGCAATGGTCTTCCCATTCCATGGCATGTTCTTGTTTGGGTGTGGGGCTCTTCAAACTTGAACACACTAATTTGTAGCTAATAAATATGGTATTGTATAGTACTAATATTTTTATATACCGGCTCAATAGTGTTGCGTATGCTAATGTGATGATGTGGGGTTGTCCAAACTGCGATGTCACCAGGTGAATTCTGTTTGGCCTAAACGGCCCCACAATCACCCCGTAGGTCTCAAGGGTCTCTGTATGACATGGTCTTCGTTATCCTGGCGGATGGCTGACCTAAACATAAACATAGACTAGAGTTTCATGCAGAACATGAAACAGCATAGGGCTGACTCGTCTAGTGCCTCCCCCCACCAAAAGGTGGGACCTAACAATGATGCCAAATTCCATCAAACGCAGCTTTGAATCACCATCCAGGTCATACATCCATCTTCATGGGGGTTCTCCATCTCCGCTCCGGGTTCAGCGTTAAAACATGTTTAAAACCTTATGAATCCCTTTTGGAGATGAGATCCCCCAGATATCGAAACACGCTTCATCCGCACCTGAGGCGGCGGAGGCTCGCATTCCACCTGGAGTGGATCTTCGCAAGTCGACGAAGTCGACGAAGCGGAGGGTGACGGGGACAATGCGGCTGGCCCGGATGTTACTCCAAAGGTGGCATGGCATGTGATATGGCATGAGGATGATTTTGTCACCCGGCCGCATGAATTTTTGGTAAAAGTCCAAAATGCAGTTCACGTGTCGGAGGATCAACTCAAAAGCATCCTCCCGGGTCACAGCCCTCCAAACTGGTTGACAGGCCCTCCAAACTGGTGTCATTCGAGATCCATGTTCATTGGATGACAGAGCTGTTCAGTTCCTTCCCACCAGTCTCCGGATTCTCCGGATGTGTTTTGTTTTCGTCGCGCCAGCTGAAGGGGAACTTGGGGGATGTCAATGCTCTTGAGTTCCTCGTGCAGTTCTGACCGGACCTATTTTTGGGGGGAACACGACGGGCGCGAAGAGCATGGAGTGGCTATGCTACACCTGCATGAGTGTGTATGTGTGTGAGGCGTGCTGTGATCTTTTCCTGGGGGTTAGTTTCTGAATTCCCGGTTGCCAACAAAATACACACTATACCGTACTGGGAAAACTCTGGACACAAATCACCCTCTTGAAATGGATTGAACTGGGAGGGCTTAATGAATCCTAATGAACCACTCAATCCTTTGGTGAAACCACCTGTGAGCATGTCCATGCGCTTTCTTGCCCATGAAAGAGCTCACAGTCCATAGTTGATGACAAGGTTTTCGTGGTAGCATCATTTATGGCGGGTTGGTCCATGTTCCGTCCCCTCGTTCCTCACCGTTCTCTCTCCGGACCACACAATGCCACCCACCAATTCTGGATATTGCGCGTTGCTTTGCAAAAAGAACACCAAAAAATTTAAACCAATTACAAACCAGAAAAGGAGGCGGTGTGTTCGTTCGTGTAAAGGCGCGTGTTTTAATAGGCGCGTGCAAGACCAAAACGGACTGGTCCCAGGTCCCAGCTGCTGGTGGACTCCAGTCCGACCATCCATCCGGCGTTTCGATGGCCACGCGAAAGTGATGCACGCCTCGGACATGCGGCCGGGAAGCTTCGGTGATTCGGGCATAGAACTGCTAGGGCAAAAGCCCAGCTGTATTATCTTATATATGAATATCAATGAAATACGTATAACGTATAGCTTATATGGTTCATACAACTTCATACAACTTCATACAACTTCTGTAGTATGAAGATCCATGAACTGGGTCTGTTCGGTTTCTATGATTGTTGCAGCGCATCTGATCATCCCAAGAGTGGTCAAGTCGGCATGAGCAATCCAATCGTGGATGGACCCACACCTTTTGGACTCTTCCATCCTCGTAAAGCATCAAACACCTCACTTCCTAGCACACAGTGCCACACTCAGTTCCCACGTTGGGAAGGAAGGTGGGGGAACGGAAAGGTGCATGAGTCCGCAAAAACCGTATTGTTGAACAATGTTGGCAGCTGCACTCGAAAACGATCTGACACTCAAAGTCGGCTGCAAAGCGGCGCAAGGTGGCGGTGGGTTTGTGGGAGGTATCATGAAGAACCATGAAACAAACCGTGGAGAAGTGGGGTGGCAGCGTGTGAAGAACTTCGCAGGCACGTTCGGATGATCAGTCCGAATATCCCACTCTGTGACCTAGCTTCGTTGAACTGGGTCAGTCACAGACTGCCCAGTTCCCCTGCATGAGGTGAATCCAAACCCTTAGGCACAGGGGTTGACACACACAGATCGCCGTGATCGGCGCCTAGGTACAGAGTGTGACACACACACTCCGCCGCTTTGCGGCTCTCTGGCATAAAACGTAAGATAGTCACCTAAAAAGCCTTAGAAACACAAGAAAGGAAAGACAGAAAGAGCAGCGCTAAGAGGGCAAGAAAGAAAGATAGGTGTAGAAAAAAGTGAATACTTAGCCCTTGACTCCTGAAGAGCAACCTAAAAAGCCTGAGAGAAAGCCCAACAAACGACGGAAAGCGCAAGAAGAAAAGTTGGGGGGCAGGGAGGGGATGTATGTTCATGTGTGTGTGTACATGTGTGTGTCTGACTACCTAGCACTCTAGAGTTACTGATTACTTAGTCGAAAATAATTAAGTGCAGTAGTTAGGGAGCGGGACTTTAGTCTTAGACCGCCCGGGTAGAGAAGACTAGAACAGGAACAACACAGGGAAAGGCACCGACACACAAGTGTGTCGAGTACCATTTCCCTATGTTGCCCTAATTAGGTGGGGAGTAGAACTCGGCTGGGGGGGGGGGTTGGGAAACCTGCCTGACTGCGGGTAAAGTACCGTTTTAAAGCCCGGCGGCTATGGAATCCCGTGTTTGGGCCCGGCGGCCGTTGAGGCAGTTAATTCGGTGGGAGTGGAGGTGAATTCCAGTGGATTCCGGTGAGCGGTGGTGAGTTCCGGTAGTGATTTCCCAATGAAACGGCGCCTCCTTGCGGAGGATCACACTCAGCACCAGAGCGGGACGGCTGAGCGAGACACACTCTGACATGGGTTTTCAGTTACACTCAGTTCCCACGTTGGGAAGGAAGGTGGGGGAACGGAAAGGTGCATGAGTCCGCAAAAACCGTATTGTTGAACAATGTTGGCAGCTGCACTCGAAAACGATCTGACACTCAAAGTTGGCTGCAAAGCGGCGCAAGGTGGCGGTGGGTTTGTGGGAGGTATCATGAAGAACCATGAAACAAACCGTGGAGAAGTGGGGTGACAGCGTGTGAAGAACTTCGCAGGTACGTTCGGATGATCAGTCCGAATATCCCACTCTGTGACCTAGCTTCGTTGAACTGGGTCAGTCACAGAGTGCCCAGTTCCCCTGCATGAGGTGAATCCAAACCCTTAGGCACAGGGGTTGACACACACACACACACACAAACACATGCCGGCGCATGCTCCCATATCGCTGGGTGCCTGGGGGCAGGTTAGACAAAGGCAGCTCGCGGGTGAAGTGCCTCAACTCCAACTCGATCCACTCACCTCACCGCGCGGGCGCGCTCTGCCGATCCAAGCACCACACGGAAAACGGGGCCAAACGGGTCCTCATTCCGGATCCTTGTTTGCCTAGATGAGTGTTTTGTGGAGGGGACCCTAGGTAGCAGCCCAAAGCTGTGTGGTCAAGGGAGTTCCTTGAGATCAAACTGCCAACACATGATCGCACCTCACACATGAATGAACAAAAGATTAAAGAAACTTATCCTCCAGAATCCAGAGGACCCTAAAACGGTTTCTTTGAAGGCCCGTTTCCATCGAAAACAAGGCCTCCCAAGGCCTCGTCCCCGAACTTCAGAGCGGCCGCCTTTCTTTAGCAGGGATGGAAAGCCCTAGCCTTCCAAGATCCTTAAAAGATCTTAAAAGAAAGGTGGACCTGGTTTTGTAGCGTAAAATCCTTAGTCAAACAATGGTTGTTCGGGATTCAGGCTATCAAATCAATGGTGGGCCAGGAAGCCTTGATTTAAGACAACGAAGGCCGAACAGGAGAAACGAGCCCACAAGATGCTCATGAGGAAATCACACCGTCTCCATTCATTCGGCGAGAGGGGCAGCCCGAGGCCAAAAGAGTGCGGAAAGGAAATCAGATTCGGCCTAGCGGTGGAGCATGCTCCCGACATTCCACACTCCGCAGACACAGCCAAAAAGCAAAGAGCCAACAAAGAGTCGTTGGACAAACACCGCTCTAAGCCGAAGCGAAGTCGATCCTTGGGCGGTCACCCACGCATGCCCGGTCCGACGAGGTCTGACAGGTCCGGTCGGACCGCACTTCGGACCGGTGTGGGCCGAGCGGCTGTCCGGATCCTCCGCGGCTTTCTCGTTGTTTAGCCGGTACTTCACCCGCCACTTCGAGACCTCGTCCTGACACCGGGGTGGAATCAGTGGTTTCGAAGCAGTTCTGGATAGTTCGGGCCTTCCGAGGCCCAATCTTTGGGTGTAAAAATCACCCGGGGTGGCTCATCCTCCATCTTCGCTTCTTTTCTCAATTTCTCAGCACAACAAGGAGGAAAAAAAAACAGGTCCTTCACCTCGCCCCTAAGGAAAACAGGTCTTTCACCATGTGACAAACAACACGACAATTTCCGCACCTCTTCCGCCCAGCGTGGCATCACCTTCACCGCGCCGGGCGGCACGGGCAGCACAATCGGCACATGCGCCGGGGGCAATGCCACGGCCATCGCCATGGCGTTCAGTCGACCCGGGTGGGGGTCGAATGTGAAGATACGTGAAGCAAGCCAGGGAGGAAGGTTGATAAAACCACGCAAAGGCGGAGGAGTTGAAAAGATGATGGAATCCAGACAGCTACAGTCGCAAGATGAGGCAAATCTCTGTGATCTGCGACCAGCTCCTGATAAGGCTCGAGGCAAAAATACTTGCAAAAAGGCAAAGATCCGTCACTTGGCTTTATTTCAGGCTCCCTTGACTGACGTGGAGAGTTTCTAAGAGTTCATAGGACTGGTTCTTGAGGGACTGCACGCAAACCAGGGCGGCAGCTCTTCTGCCAAGCCTAAACTGGAAATGGAGCAAAGTAGCCGCCCGCTGGGTGACAAAGTGGAGCCAATGGATACATGGTCGTACGTGGTGCGTCTCTTCCCCCTCCTCCAGACCCCAACAAAGGCTAAACAGGTCCAGGAGGCCTTCGGAGGTGCTCGAATCCAAGCTGGTGCCCTGTCTCACTACAAGCGGTGTATCAACAGGGCCCTATGATATGCCATCTGCCATCATCTGCCAGGAAATTCAGGTCATCCAATCAAAAGCCAAGACAAACTAGAAGTTGGATGGTGGGTGAGAGTCGGGACTGTATGGTAGGTAGGACACCCTCATCTCACCAAAGCCTACATCTGCACTTCTACGTATTCTCGGCCCGTGGTCTTTCCCAAGCACCCAACAATTCAACAGCAAGGCCAGTTGCTTGTCAAAAGACATGAGCCATCCCAGTCAGTGGTCTTTTTCTGAGGGTGTTGTCCGTGTTTTAATGATGTTTTATTCTTCACGAATCCACATGAAAATGTTGGCTCGGCCGATCCTATTCCCAGTGGATCATGATGGTTAGGTTCTAGGCCTTTGTCTAAAATATATAGCGATTTGCTTGTTTACCGACTGTTACAGGTAAGTTCGGACAGGGTTCTGAAAATGGATTCTGGTGTCGAACCCCTCAAGCCTCAAACCCATCGACCACCCGACCGACCATCGACCCGGCCCCTCAGCTCCCATACTCTTTTGGCCCGAGGAGGTGGTGCGGTCTGCGCGCGTGTGGCCACGCAGGCAGACCGCACCGTTTCTTTCGGTTGGTCCAGGACAGCCATAAACCAAGGCCACTACCAGCCACTACCAAGGCCATAAACCCTATACAAATCAAGCGTTCCAGCCTGTAGGGATGAAAAATTGTTGGCAGGGGCCATTTGGCTCAAAAGATATATAAATTATATCTGATATATCATGATAAATGTATATGTAGAGATATAGATAGAGAGATATGACAAATGTTTTTCGGTGGACTCACTACAAAGTGGCCAAAAACAAGGCCATTGAAAACCTGAAGGCATCTGACAAAACCAAGCATGGACTTCGTGGAGGCCTCTTGGTCAGCATAATTGCTTCTTCCTTCTTGGCACGTCCACCATTTTGGGGCACCTGAAACCCACCATCTTCACCGGTCAGCTCCAAAACCGTCCAGTCTTCACCGGTCAGCCCAACTCCTCTCCTCCCTCTTCGCCTCCTCCGTCTTCGTGCTCTCTTCCGTGGGCGCCGGACCGGGCGGACCGGGCGGACCCGCCGGACATGCCGCGGGGCCCGCGAGATTGGGGGTCCAGAAGTCGTCGCCTCGGTGGGGGCGACGGAAGTCGTGAGGCAGGGGCGGACGAAAGGGAGCGCATGTCCGTTCGAAAGGACCAGCATAGCTGTCTTCGAAATGAAGAAGAATTTGGAATCGATCTCAAGGTCCAGCTAGTTTAAGTTTAAGGTGCTTCAAGCTCAAGTCCTTCCAAAGAAGTCTTGGGAACTGAAGTAGATCCTGACGGTGAAAACCAATCTTGCCACGAGGTGAATACTCAATCTTCTCAGAAGTCGTGAAGTTGTTTTTCGGGTCGAGATGTCATCGTTTTTGCCCCACGGACCATAATATCAATAATAGGCATTTCCGTGGGGGGGCTTGCAAGTCGATCTATACAGTCATGCTGGAGTAGATAGAAGGAAATTTGACAAACCGATGGGAAAGTCCTTTTTGTTTAAGAATTGTTTGGTTCATATTGGTTCTTCATATTGGTTCATCTTCATATGCATTTTCAATATTTACTCCAGGATGGTTTGAACCAGAAACTGTCATATGAAATTGTACAGTAAGTCATATACTCCAGGATGGTTGCAGTGGAATTTTCAGCTTTGCCCCTCCATCATGCTGGACCGAAAAAGGGTCGCGCGCCTGGCTCGGTGAACTCCTGCACCTTCGCGCGCGCTGAGAGCAGCGCGGCGTCCTGCAATTCCGCTAACGAACGTGCGTTCGGCGCGCCGGTTTGTAGCGTTCAAGGAGTGTGGTGAAACATGATGAAACATGCCAGGAGCATCCAAGGGGTGTCCAATGGAGATTCCTAAGTAGTGTAGGGTAGTCTATTGAACACCCAGGGATTGCGAGCATTTCTCCTGGCCCAGCTCCCATGCATCACGGTGTGAAACTCGAACATTCCGATGACATAAGCAGTTCAAGCATGGTGTTCCTTCCTTACGACTGGGATTTCCTCAAACACCATGAACAAAAAACTTTGCCATCTACACAACCCGGCGCCTTGCATTCGAGAGTATGTGCAATCCGGATCGCGGTTCACGGCGGCCACTCTGCCACTCATGACTCAAGATCCTGACCGGCCACTCAGCCACTCAGCCACTCAAGATCCTGAGTGGCTGAGTGGCTGACACGAAGAGAGCCTGAGTGGCTGACAAGAACAAAATCCTGAGTGGTTGAGTGGCTGAGTGGCTGACGGAAGACAAGCCTGAGTGGCAGAGTGGCTGACAGGAAGAAAAGCGTGAGTGGTTGAGTGGCTGATTGGAAGGAAAGCCTGAGTGGCTGACAGGAAGGAATTTCTGAGTAGCTGAGTGGCTGGTGCCGAGTGGCTGGGTGGAGGTGGTAGTAGCAGTAGGCGTAGTCGTAGTCGTAGTCGTCGTAGTCGTCGTAGTCGTCTTCGTAGTCGTCGTCGTAGTAGTCGTCGTAGTAGTCGTCGTAGTAGTCGTAGTAGTCGTAGTAGTCGTAGTAGTCGTAGTAGTCCTAGTAGTCGTAGTCGTAGTCGTAGTCGTAGTCGTAGTAGTCGTAGTAGTAGTAGTAGTAGTAGGAGTAGTAGGAGTAGGAGTAGGAGCAGCAGCAGCAGCAAGAGGAGCAGTAGCAGTAACAGTAGCAGTAGCAGCAGCAGCAGTAGAAGTAGCAGTAGTAGCAGTAGTAGCAGTTTAGTAGTTGTTGTTGTAGTAGCAGCAATAGTTCCAATATTAGTAGTAGGAGTGGTAGTCATAGTAGCAGTGGCAGCAGCATAGCCACTGTAGGAGGAGGAGGTCGAAAGCTAGCCGAAGCGCACCGGAGGTGTTTGTTTCCGTGCAGCACTCGTTGAGCTCGTGTACCCATACGGGAAGCCAGGGTTCGAGCTGGATTTCCATGGCACTCAACCGGGTTTAGAGGTGCAAGGTATAAGATTCAAAACAGAAATGACTGTGGAAATCATCCGTTTCTGAAAAGGATCCTGCTGCTGTTCCACTACCTAACATCCACCTGGATATGTTGGCAGACACTCGCATACTTAGGCACGAGCATATAAGGAATAGGGTGTCTTGACGAAATAATTAGCTGGCTTATTGTTATTGCAAACCTGGTGATTGAATTTACCCCCCGCTTTTGTATGCATTGGGTCGGAAATAGGAGCCAGCATTTCTGGCATCACCAGGAATGTACATGCACCAGGCCCTCCGTAGTGCAGGATAAGTCTTCGAAAAATGTATAAGGAACAGAGCGTCTTGATGAAATAGCTGGTTTATTGTTATAGCGAATCTGGTGGGTAAACTTACCCCCCGCTTTTGTACGCATTGGGTCGGAAATAGGGTAAAGATTTCTGGCATCACAGGGACTGTAAATGCACTAGGGCGTCCGTAGTGCAGAATAAGTCTTCGAAAAAGGTATAAGGAATAGGGTGTCTTGATGAAATAGCAGGCTTATTGTTATTGCAACTCTGGAGGGTAAAATTTACATCCCGCTTTTGTACGCATTGGGAAAAATAAGGATAAACAATTGTGTACATATAACTATAACTGTTAGAGAAAGAGGGGGTGCTTTAGCCAAAGAAGACAGACTTCAGTTTTTGCGTCGGCTTTGACTCCAATAGAACAGCTGTCCAATTCTACAAGTAAGGATCAGCTACTACCAAAACTACTTCTACTACGACGACTACTCCACACCAGCCACTCAGCCACTCAGGCATTTCTTCCTGTCAGCCACTCAGACTTTTCTTCATGTCAGCCACTGAGCCACTCAGGTTTTTCGTCCAGTCAGCCACTCAGCCACTCAGGCTTTTCCTCCTGTCAGCCACTCAGCCACTCAGACATTTCCTGTCAACCACTCAGCCACTCAACCACTCAGGATGTTGTTCCTGTCAGCCACTCAGCCACTCAGGCTTTCTTCGTGTCAGCCACTCAGCCACTCAGGATCTTGAGTGGCTGAGTGGCTGACAGGGAGAAAATCCGCATTTCCACGTACAATCTTACATTCAAAACCAGGAAAACTCCAGGATATCGGAAAAGACACGCGTTTAAGGCCTCAGGATCCATCTTGAGGCCCTCCTCGATGGCCAGGACTGCCTTCGGTGCACACCCGTGTGCGACGGTACTGTTCTTTGTACGTCGTCCCCATTGGAAGGGATTGACGGGCTGAACATGCTGAAAAATCCCGGCGCTTGTTTCCAACATGACGGCGCCGCGAGCACACCAAAAACGATCAGCAACTCAGGCATATGCTATCTTTGACTGACTCATGGATGACAACCGAGTCTGGGGGCACATCCAAGTCATGCACCACAGGTGCATACCAAGTACCTGACTCATATCATTGCCCATGTGTCTTTTCATGTCATTTATCTCC